GGGTTCAGACAGGCTTCATCGAGTGTATTTCATATTCGTGATCACAATGTATCCTGCATTTGATGCCTTCACAATTCTTTTATTCCTGCAGTTCCCAATTTCCAACAGGCCTGAGTAATCTTACCAGCAATTCAGAAATAAAATGTTTAGACAAATCTGACAGCAAGTACTGAGCTTCACAGTATCTTTACTGGAACTGAGACAATTGCTTGGTTCCAATTCCTTTCAGGTCTGGAGACAGTCTTGAATACAGTTTTACCATTGACTTTTCAGGTTCCTTTCACTTGAAAAAAAAAAAAAAAAACAGGAAACAAATAGGAAATGGGCCCCTTTTAAGGTATACCTATCAAGTATACAATGCTGGACTCCTTGTATAGACCAATCGACATTAGATAGGTGATATGGTTGACATCATGCCAGCCACCTATACCTTCCAAGGACACTACCTGGTACCAATGTTAGGCTGGGTTCATATGGGAGCGAAAATACATTTTAAAAGAAAAACTCCATCTTGATATAAATAGATGTAAACCCAAAGCCTCCGGATTAGCAGGCAAGAGTCTAACCACTTACCACAATCCTTTCAATACAGAGAGATGTAAACAGAAGGATGGAAGTCAAGTGACAGTTATAGGATAAATTCAACCATGACTGGAGCTTGGGATGGCACTGAGTACTACTGTGAGGTCCCTTATGAAGTCCAAAACTGCTCCCCACCAAGACATATTACAGGAACAGGATCACCATGAGAGGTGTTGCCCTTGCCCTACCTCAGGGCTTTTCAACTGACGGCCCGCGGATCATTGCCTCTTGTATTGTATTGATGATATTTCTATGCTGGGACTCGGGTCTCTGGCCTGTAACTATTGCCATTTTCAGAATGTTGGCCCATGAATAAACTTAGCGGAATAGCCATGCCCTACATCTACTTCAAAGACACATTTGTACATGAGACCATTTACTTGATTCTTACTATCAAAAGCAACAAACACACAAAAAACCAGCAGCTTTTGTGGCTATAATTACACTTGAGATGTGAAAGGCTACCCACTTGAGCATCAACATTCCTTTATGAAGGCAGGATGCTGGCACCCAAACTGCATGGACTCTATACAGTCTTGTAAAATTTTCTAGAAATTATCTGCAGTAAAGAAACAAACTGGTCACTCCAGATTGCTTTTCCATGACCTAGTTTATGCGAAGGCCTAACACTACACAGGTACAGCTTCTTCTGCCTCTTCCTCCTACTTTCTTCCCTCAACACCACCTGCAGCTGTAACACAGCCATGTAAATGCCAATATACAGTAATTTTTGCAGTGACCTGTTCTCGAAAAGCATAGTTAAAACCCACTGGTCCTATCTGCACCTGCAGGTTTTTTTTAATATGCAACGATAAAATAAATAACAGTTATAAGGGTTTTCTTATATCCAAAAAGCCTTTTGAAAACCAAGTTGTTGTAAAATTTTCCTGTAAGCCTCACTGATAGAGGTCACAGGATCACAGCATAAGCCACCTTTACATTTTGCTTTTTTACACCTGCAGAAATGCATTCTATCTATGCTTCACTCTATTCGTGGTTACTGATTACCCCTTAATATATCAATACATAATTTGGAAGAATAAATTTCTACTGTCAATTTAAAAAAAAAAAAATAATAACATTTACTAGAGATCGGTGCAATACGTTTTTTTAAGGGGGGTAAATATCTCAAGATATATCCGAGCGAAAGGGTTAACAATCATGATGTAAAAGCTGACTGATCAAGGAAGGCACATATATTGCTACCTAGCTGTAAACCACAACATATTTGCCAACTGTCTTTTAAAGGACAAACACTTGAGAAGTATAGCGCTGTATATTGTGAAAAACTTTAGATTTGACTTTCTTTGTGTAAATTTGTGGGTTTTATATTCTTCTTTTTTTTTGAGTAGTTAATCTCATTAATTTTTTTTTTTATGTAAAGTTGTGAACTTGTACGGTATAGTATAGGTGGCCTGGCGATGAGAATTTGGTCCTCTGACTGATAAGATTTCTGCTTAATACCCAGCAGGGCTGGTGGACTTTTACAGGAACCTTTGGTTCCCATGATCTTGGGGGTCCAAAGGTGCAGATGTCACAGCCTAGCTGTAAATCACAAAATAACCCACCAACTGTCCTTTTAAGGGTGGAACGAAGAAGAAAATTATGAAATATATGAGGCTTATCACATTTTGTGTAGTCAACGTTACTGTATGGTTTGGGAAACATGCACAAATAATCATGATCCATTAGCTAATGTGTCTTGGTCATCATTTGTGTCTGTTTAAGTTGTTATTTAATTGCAATAACTGGATTAGAAGAAAGCCACAGTAATGCAGCAGCTAGAATGCTTTCCTGGCAGCGGGTGATGATGTGTTTGAATCTCTGAGAAAATTTAACATAAAATGAACTAGGCTCCCAGATCACCCCAGCTAAAAATGGTTAAATTAGTGAACTACAGTGAAGCTAAGAAAATACCAACAAATGTCAATCCAAATGAGAAACAGAACTAGCCAGCATCACAATACTGCAGTCATGAACAACACACACGTCATTCTTCTTCTTCTTTTTTCAGCTGTCACTGACTGTAAACTGGCAGAAATTTCCGGTTATTCATCCATTTTTGGACTTCAGTCTTGGTCCAGAACTTGAGTTTGAATAATTCATTACAAAAGGGACTGGCCGGCAGGCACTGCAGAATTAAAAGCTCAACAAATGATTCATGAAAATTCCTGTCCAGGTGATGTGATTACCTATACAGATGGCTCGGTGTTGACAGGGGGGTTAATAGTAAAAGCGAGTGGACATTGTTTTGTGCGACAAAGCCTGACATATAATACCACAACATTTAGTTTTATAATGGAGGTGGAGGCAATCACTGCAGCCTTCTGCTGGCTTGAGAACAAGCTGTACACATATGTTGTAATCGTAATGTGGAGAAGGTATGCTCCTTGCAGAAAGGCAAGCACTGCTTCAGAAGTCCCGGGTAGTTGGCGTCCCTTGGATATTTTCTGCAGGTTTGCTGGTGTATTGGGAAACAGACAGACTGAATGGTTCTGCGCCACTCTGTGGTGAACTGATGCATGACAAGCTAGATATTGCAAGGTTTCTTTGGGAGCGAGTGAGCAGCGTGCAGGCACAAACAGATCATCATAGTCTGAAAAGACTCATTCTGCAGAGACTGACCAGGCAGTCTGGCCGATGGTCAACACTCAAGGGAAAGGCGAGACAGATATACAGTCAGACTGTTATTGGTACCAAGGGAACTGGAACTCTGCGCCTGCTGATGAAGTTGGGGGATGGAGCGCTTATGGGAATATCATGAGTGCTATAATATAGATTCTTAATTCAACATTAATTTTTAATGACAAGAATTCAGGAATGTTATTGTGAAGCATCCCATTGAACCAACATTAACAAATGGTTAGAAATATGAGCAACAAATGAACACATTTAAAACATTTAAAAAAAAAGGGAAAACCCATACATTTATTACCGGAGAAGTACATAAATATTCTGGACATGCAAAATCAAGATGCTTTCATAATTAGAGACCCTTAAACATAATGGCAAGTCATAACAAGAAAATCATGGACCATGCTTTTAGAAGAGAAACACCAATAAATTAAAATACCTGGCAAGATTAGATGAGATATAGAACAAACAAACAAAAACACAAAAAAACCAGAAGAGATAAGATAGTCTTGCATCACAGCCAGGACAGATGTCAGTCCAGTGCTGGATTTAGGTGTAAGCTAACTGAGCTGCAGCTTAGAGCCTTACAATATTCAGGGGCCTGAAAAATCCTATTTTTGGCACAAATGAATTTTCATTTTAATATACTTTTTTTAAAAATCAATTTACTCTTAATATATGTTTAATTTTTTGTCATCTAAAGATTTAAAAAAATGTTATTAATATTATTACAGATATATTTTCTCAGGCTTTTATTTATAAAAAAACAGTATATTTTCATTATCCATATATTTAAAAAGGCGTCGATAAGTATATATATATTTTTTCCCCTCAAGTTTTCTGAGACTAGCTGGTGAATTTAAAATGGCAGGGGCCTCAAGAGTTTAGATAGCTTAGGGCATCATCAAATCTAAATCCGGCCCTGTAACAGCACTAGAGAGTGTGGGTTGTGAAAAGACATGATTGTCTACATCTGTCACCATGGCACATTACTCTTTTAGTGCCAGGAAACGCTCTGTGTGTTTACTGACTACACTTTACAAGATATGCTTTTTCACCTTATCTTATTTTTTTTTGTTAAATTTAAATATATATGATACAGTAACTCGTACTATCCCACTATATACTGTAACTGATTTTGTCCTAGAGTGTTATTATTTATTCTCGTTCGGAGCTAAGGGTGTCTTACTGTAAATCATAAAATCTTCACAACATAATCTTCTTTTCCTTCTTCGCATTCACCGGCGGAAAGTTCTGGTTGTTTGTCCATTTCTGGACTGTAGTCTTGTTCCAGAATCTGAGTGCTGCATGCACATCTGTTTAACAGATCTGACTTTATTATTTGCATATTGTTGGTTCCTTGCCTCTCAGGCAGATGCACTCCAACTTCAAAGGAAGCCCCATATAAGTCAACTTTTACAACATGCTTGTTGGGAAAGCAGTGGGTCTAATCTTGTTTTCCTCACAATGGGGTCCTGGAACCAACACAGGGATACAACATAATGAATTACAGCTATGCCGGCCTTGGACTGAGGGAGTTAAAGAAGAAGTGAAGAATAAAAAGCACGCTTAAACAAAGCCATGGGCCAGATAAACTAACAGAAGGTTAAGTCGCAAGCCTAGTAAAGAAATTACAAGTTATAAGCTCACAGATTACAGAAAAATAGTCAATGACGTAAGCTCACAGATTACAGAAAAAACAGTAAATGACATAAGCTCACAGATTACAGAAATTCAGTAAACGACATGAGCTCATAGATTAGGAAAAACAGTTAATGACTCACCTAGTGTTGTCCTTGAGCTGCTGGCTAGAATGGGCAAGAGACTTCATCTCTTTGTGCAGAAAATCCATCAGCAGCTTCACATCATGCAGCTGCTTTAATGACAGATCATGCAACTGGGTGGGAAAATAAAGAGGGAGAAAAAAAACAAAGCTAACAAACTGTTAATCTGGGTAAAGATTTAGCATCAGAAAGCCCCTAACAACTTTCTTTAACAGTGGACTTTCATGCCCTGAGTGTCCTTGGTTTCCTGTGCCCATCATCAAACTGGTTAAACCCTGTCTCTTTGTCCAGGAGTGATACCTCCCATAACTGTTCGATCCAAACCCTTTAACATGGCTAAAGTATTTCAGTCCATGAGAACAAAAAGTGTTTATGGGTCAGTACCACTCGATATTCCGATCGTGAAGAATGTTAGTTTTTTAGATGTGGTGATATTGAACTTAATGCTACCTTAAATAAATAAACACACATAGCAGGGACATATGAGCCTATTTTGACTGTCTGCTGAAATAGCAGTCTGCATTCACACTAGCAGTTACAGGCAGGATTTGTTCCCCCTAACTGTATAGTTCTGGTGACAAATAAAATGGGTACTAGACAATTTTCAGATTTATCTGGAAAGAAAAAGTGGTAACATATATCAATTGGCCAGCCCACCTCCTGATCCTCAGTCTTGGCTAGGTATGAGATCAGATGTCTCCAAATCCTAACAGCAGTGTATGCGAAGGGACTCTTGTTGGCACCTTTCCATTATCCCAGATGATAGGTGTTATACCATGCTGTAGGGAGACATGTAAATCACAGCCCATGGCGTTGGTCAATTAAGGTCAGATATGAAATTCTACCTCTTGACATCACAAAGCCTGGGCAGCATTGCAGAGGCTATATGTTCCCCTCTTAACCTGCCTTGTTTGCTCCACAGGAAAGCTAACACCAATATCTTTGAAACAAAGCATCAAAGTAGCTGCTGTATCAGATCAGCAGCGCTCTGTCCATCTGCCAGTCAAAGGGTCCCTCCTAGCTAACCTAGGCTAAGGGTCTGACTGTCCTCCTATAACATTAGGCCTCAGGTTACATTTCCTCTTCCTAGGATAAGGCTATTATCTTCGCTATGGGATGGGATGAAACCACCTTTACTCGTTATTTCAGGTGTGTCATTATAAAAATAATGAACTGTAACCTCACAAATCTGTGACAAAATTCTAATTTGGAAATCATGGAAAATACCAAATTATTTGTCCTCCTGCCCCTGAGCTAAAGAATGCTAACAATGAAATAACTAAAATCTGTGGAGGAAACATGATCACCAAGCCTAATCTCAACATATATATGCTGTGCTCTTTTTCTTCGCGCTCATTGGCTGTAAACTCCTGTGGATCATTAACCTTTTCAATGACTACAATGTCCCTCACTCAGGTAAGAGATCAGATAATCGTTAGAACTGTTTATAAATAGGCTGGCACCTATCTAGATGATGTGTGGGCTTAAGTATAAAGACTACCTGTTAGGTTTATGTGTAGGGTATAAAACAGATCATCAATCAATAAATTAAAACCAATAACAATAATAATTACTATTAGGAAATAAAACTACCTTTGAATTCTGAAGCTGACTTTCTTTTAATTCAGTCCGTAGTACCTGAATCTGTTCACTGCCTTCGTCTACTTTTACCCTCAGACCCTCACACTATAAGGGGTTACAACAAAAAATGTAAATAACCACAAAGACTGAAATTATCAAACACAAATAATAAACAAACCATTCAAACAATCAAAAAAATATATATGTAGAAATGAAAGCAGTCTCCTGTTATAAATCTGAGCAAAGAAAATACAAACAATAGATTGCACAATTTATTGCCTGGCATATTTTGCTGGATCTTTTTATAGTGCATATTACAGTAACAATTAAATCAAATAAAGCAAATAAGTGAATCCTCTATAACTGAAGTAAAAATTCAACCACATAATTTGGCCTTTTACCTTCAATATTTTAGTGACAATTTAGGTAATCTCTTCCTGCAGTAAATTTAACCTGTTAATAATGCTTTCCTAAAGTTAATTTAGATTATTTTTTAAAGCAAGTTAAAAAAGTATTGTGGTTAATTCTAATATGGCAGCACTAAACCTCAGTTAATGTTAATCACTAAATAATATTTTACCAATTACAAAACAACAATGAATAAGTTAAAATACAAGAAGTTGCTGGCAAAATAGTTAAGAAAACTGGGTTCTCATTCGAAAGAACAAGATTCAAATTCATATGGCGATGACTTTCTTTTTTAATGCTAGGGCCAAAAATAAAATCCCAACCTTTACCCATCATGGCGGCTCCAGCCATGTACCTCAATACTCATCAGACTTTAAAAAAACCCCACCCCCACCCTAACAGTGGCAAATGCAGGCAGTAAAGATAAGCACAAAAACATACTTCTTCACTCTTCTGCTGTAGTGTCTTTACCAGACCCTCTACACTTCTCTTGTAACGGTCAAGCAATGCATCTTTCTGTTTCTGCTCCAGCTTCATATCTTCAAGTGTCTTTTCAAAGTCCTGCAACAAATATAAAGACATCACACATTTGTAGAAATCATTATGACTTTATTTAGTGGATGCACCACAAATAGCTATACATCTCTTGAATTCAGGGTTATTAAGCTAGATGTCCAGGGGCCAAATCTGGCCCATAGAGGCCTTGCAAGTGACCCGTGGATCACTGCCAGCTGTATTGTATTAACCATCTTTCTAGGCTGGGCACGGGCCTCAGGTCCATGAGTATCTCCATTTCAAAATATTCGCCCCTAAGTAAACTTAGCTGAATAGCAGAACTCAAGAGAGAGATCACTGTATCTAACTTACGTGTACAAGGTCATATACAAAGATTCCATCCATGGTAATAAACTCTTTGGCTATCTTCCGAATAACGGTCCCAAATTATCGAGGCAGAAAATATACCCTAACAAGACCTCAGTTATGTGTCACTTGCATACTTCCAGGGACTACCGCCACCGCCGAATTGCGAACTTCTGGGGACTTCCGCCACCGCCGAGAGTATCCCCATGCCGCTCACGAGCAAATAAAATGAAAGGCAGCTGAGGAAATGTAGTAGCTGCTGCTCGTGAGTCCCAGCCATCTAGTTTAGCCCCAATCCACGCCCAACCATCTAACAAGAAGGGACCAGGCCACCATCTTCAGACATAGAACGCAACATACTCCACTCAATGGACATCTAAACAGAATACAGCCACAACACTCCCCAGAGTGCCAGCTATGTAACTAACCCTACAAAACTGTTGAACACCATCTCTTTGAGTGCCCAAAACTCAGTGAGACTAGAAGAATGCTACTCCCTTTGAGACCAGAAAAGTGGAACACCTTGTACGGAGCTTGTGAAAACATGCAAATTCCACTACATGGCATTGAGCCAAAGGGCGAAAGCTCATGCGCCACTGGATCGATAACAACAACAACAAGTCGCCGGAAGTGCGCAAGTGACTGAGAGGCCCTGTTAGGGTACATTTTCTGCGTCGATAATTTGGGGCCGTTATCCGGAAGAAAGCCAACTCTTTGAACTGATGGTAATACAGTGGCTAGACTTTTGCCAGTCAGCTCAGAGTTCTTAGTTTTGAATCCACATCGAGGTAGAACTGGCCCAGGCTCCCAGGTCCACCCAGCCTAAAATGAGCACCTGGAAATTTGGAAAGTATAAAGACGACTTGCATGTTAACCAAATCATGCACTGAGTGCTGACTGGTAAACAAAAATTATACGCTCCATGCGTCAACAGTGTGATAAAGAGCTTTTTAAAATAAACCCAAAGCTAGGATTTTCCCTAACAATATTTGCTAAAGTAACCACTTCAGGGTCTACTTTGTATGATTTCAAAATGGCATGAGATTTTAATGAGTACGACCCCCACATGGGACATTCTATTTTTCACCTGCATCCAAGAAGCTAAGCTTTTCATCTTTCCCCCAGGATCTGGCGAACAAGTGATATCAATAGAAACCAACTGTTCCTGAAAAAAATTCCCAAATCCAGCTGTGTACGAAGTCGATAACGTAAAAGTCAAAGGGAAACATCAAAATCTCACTGCTGTGCCACCTAATGAACTATATTATAAAATCCACACTGTTACATGGGAAATAACGTTATAAGATCAACTACTTCAGAAAAAAAAAAACACACATCCAACAATTCACATAAAAAATAACACTTTACTTCTTTTATGTTTGTTCTTAAAAAGGTGAACAGTCTATGTTGTGTTATATGGTTTACAGTCTGCTGCAGTATCTGCAACACATCCAACTTCAGCAAACCCATAAATAAAAAGGCATATATTGGGGAAACCAGTAGGTAGCTAGCAGATCGCTTCCGTGAATATCTCGCAGATATTTATTATTGGTCTCCCTCCATTTCAAGTTCTGACCACCATGGTGAAAGCAATTCTCAGTCACTGCTACTAAATCTTGTTCCGGTGATCAAACCAGCCGCTACTCCTCAGAAAATTGTTTCATTCATAGTCTGGGCTTTCTCAGTCCTGGACAGATCAATATTCAACACAGCTTTATTTAATTTAAGTTATTAACTTGTTTATTTATTAAACTTATTCATATTTCGTCCCTTCTTTTTACACACACCTTCTTACTTATTTTGTTTCATATTATAACCCTTCATATTCATATTTTTCCTCCAATTACATACTTCTTGCTTTCTTGTTGACCTTGCTTTTTTTTAGAAGCTCTGTTGTCTTGTCCACTGAGTTTTCTAGTCACAAATTGTGCTGCATTTAGTATGCTGCTGATAAAGTCTCTGGTTGAAATATTTAGTTGTATCTGTGTGCATTGTTTCCATTCTCTCCATTGAGCTGCTAGTCACATTTTATGTTGCCTTTAGCAAACCCATAATTAGTCACATTTTATAACATGCTTGATAGAGGCAAAGGTGGGTCCATTCTACTTTCCCCTTAAATTACGGCTCTGGAACAAACACAGTAAGAATAGCACTAAACAATCCATAAGAAACTATTTGGTAAAAACATAACTTGTTAAACAATTTAGTTTACTTTTGAATGTTAAAAAAAACCATACCTCCTTAGCCTTAACTGCTGCAGCTAGCTCTCTTGCTGTGTCATCTAACTGCTGTTTCAGTATTTGTATTTCTTTTCTTGCCTTATCAACCTCACTCTGACTCAACTCTTTGCTCTAAATTTAACAGGGAAACAATAAAACAAAAATAAATCCGAAATTTAGAATTCATATTATTAACGTTACATCCCCCAAGAGATTTACAACAACAACAACAAAACCACCTCACAACAGAAAGTTGAATCTTAATCAGAAAATCCAAAACTAAACAGAGATGTCTTAAAAGCTGCAACAGAAAATAAATACTCTCCCTGTGTGGGTTCCGGGGCCCTATTATAGGAAAAACAAGAACAGACCCACTGCCTACCCGAAAGCATGCCATAAGAGTCGACTAATCGGGAGCTTCCTCCGAAGTCGGAGTGCATATGCCTGAGAGGAAAGGAACCAACAGTCTGCGTACAAATAAGTCACATCTGTAAAATGGATGCACATACACCACTCAGGTTCTTGAACAGGACTACAGTTCAGAAGGGGATAGACAACCAGAGTTTAGAGTTGGTGAACGCCGAAGAAGAAGAAGAAGAAACAGAAGCTCGCAGATGCTCGTAAATGTATACAAACAATCTATCGGGGGGGGGGGGGGGGGTATCCAAATTAATTTGTTTCAATGAAAGAAGAACATGTAAGAATTCATAACAAACAGGTGACTCATTAAAAATTTAACATTTAGGACATTATTTTAAAAAGCATTAAATTAAGAAAAGTATTAGTTATATGAAAAGGCAATAGGCCTTTGCAACTTACAAGAGAACAATATTAGGGAAAATGTGCAAAACTGCACGGAATCATGATTGTCAGTGAAATACTACTCATCTTATTCAAAGCAAGCATTGCATTCATGATTGTCCAATCTTTCCTGTCACTGGATATTCTTATGAAATGACATCTGCCTCTATTACTGTTTGTTCAAGGTCTCCATGGCTAAGCCTCTGAAGGTCATGGGCGCATTTCACAAACTGGGTGGGTTCGTAAGTGCAACTGTTATGGAGATCTTGATAATCATCACTGGAGCTACGGAGTTAGTCAATAGATTATCCTCAATTCAATGCACATCGAACCATTCAGTCCATAAGTGCTTGGATTCCCTCGTCAGTAAATACCGTAGCATGCAACAGCTGTTATATGTTGGTTTCTTATTCTTCTTCGGCTTTCTGCAAAGTGCTCCTGTCCGGCCACACCCCTTTCAACTTGTTCTTGCAGTCTGATCATGACTTCAGATTCACAGTCATCATTTGGCTCCTGGTCCATGGCTTGTCTACCCTCCACAGTAGCTTTACCTGCAAGCCGATCAGCTTGCTTATTTTCTTGCACGCCTGAGTGCCCTAGCACGAATATGAAACTGAGATTCGTCAGCCCCGGCCACTTCAGAGACTCCCACCACTGTCTTCAGACCCGAGTGCCCTAGCATGAATATGAAACTGAGATTCGTCAGCCCCGACCACTTCAGAGACTCCCACCACTGTCTTCAGACCCGAGTGCCCTAGCATGAATATGAAACTGAGATTCGTCAGCCCCGACCACTTCAGAGACTCCCACCACTGTCTTCAGACCCAGCCCATCTCTATCTTCCTGGGCATACTAACTAAGGAAGCTTGAGCGGGTAAAGGTCTCCAAAGGAGTTAATGTTTAGTGTGACACTAAAGTATGCAGTTTAGTGTTTTGTGCAATGCTTTTGGCAGGTGAATAGCTGTTCTGCAAAGAGACCTAGCATAATGAGAAAATGCCTGATGCAATGAAGTGGACTTTAAACCTTTACATTTTATATTATTATTTGTTACCCGGCTGTAAAGATTTTCACATATGTCTTCCTACGCTTACCTCTGCCTCTCTTGCCCAATATTTTTCCGCTTAAGGCTACATATTACAGAGGTATAGAAACTTTTTACCAACCTGGTTAGCTTTGTCCATCTGGTCACATAACTGGGCCAACTCCTTTGCATGGTCTGCATGCAAGCGATTTCTGATGGTTTCTTCTTCTTTCCCTCGGTCAGCAGTCAATGATTCTATTGCAAAACTGAGAGGGGGAAAAAAGGACCATCCACTTTATTACAGATATCCTTAATTACATAGGATTTTCTTTCTAAACTGGAACTCAATTAGTAATGTGATTAAAATCAATAGGGATACAAACATGTGACAGCTCAAGCTAACTAATACTATAAACTTCATGGCACCATGTTTCATCCCTTCTGTTCTGCTTGTCCCCTCTGATCCGCTAGCTGTCTGCTGACAGCATTGCATGTAGCACAAACTCTGTAGCCCCAGTGACAACTCTCAGGAATTCCCAAAATATTCCACAAATGAATTGAATGATGCATTAATAAACTTTGACCTTCTGAGCACAAGACAGACAGCTTGACAAGCTTGGCCAGAGAAATCCTCAAAAGAGAATTCTCTGTAACTGATTACAAACATTAATAATACTTACGCAGCTTTCTGAATCAACACTTGCTTGTCTATAAGTTCCTGTTTCAGGCTGTCTATTTCTGTCTGCAGTTGAACATTCTGAAATACGGGCAAGCATTTCAAAGGCAATTAACCCATAAGACTTTTTTAATAACATCTGGTTCATATCTATATACAATTTTTGTTTAGGTATTGGAACATAATCAAGCTGCATGCCTACAACTTTAAGAATGCTCTTGGTGGTTTAAAATGTTTACTATTTGATCAATGTTGTCAAAAGTTAAATTATTCTAGAGGGCTTGGTACCAGGAAAGAGGAGTTGAGACAGGCCCCCCCAAAAAAAGACCTGGATCTAAAACTGTACCAGCTAGTGTGCTGAAGCAACCATAAAATTATATCAATCATCATGAAAGTTAAGACCCTTAAATCTCCCAGCCCTGGTCAGCTGTTTTATCAAACCACTATCTTTTAGTTATTAACTTGACTTTCAAATCTTTCAGCTGCAATTAATCACTATTCTGTCAGTGGAAAATATTAGGTTATCTCTTTTTGACAACGAAGACATATATTATACTAAAGTGCTTGCAACCTAGGATAGAAAAGTGCAGGTTCACTTGCTAGTGAACTCATATCAACAAATGGATCACTCAAAGCCAGTTTTAAACATACATCATGGACACATCTATTCTTCTTCTTATTCGCGTTCACTGGCTGTAAACTCCGGTGGAAAGTTCTGGTTGTTCATCCACTTCTGAATTTTGTCTGGTTCCAGAACATCGTTTTACAGATCTGGCTTATTATTTGTAAGCAGACTGTTGGTTCCTCCCCTCAAGGCAGGTGCACTCTGACTTTGAAGGAAACACCCCTAATTAGTCTAATTTTACAACAGGCTTGTTAGAGAAGCAATAGGTCCATTCTCCCCCCCCCCCCCCCCCCCCCTGAAATAGAGCCCCAGAAGCCAGCAGGAAGAAATATCTATTAATGAGTTTCTACATTTAGCAAACAACATATTTCTTCACAAAAAGGACCCACCATTTTTAACACATCATGGCCATCACCAAACGTCTGCTGCAATCTCTCCTCCATGTAGTATATTCTCAACTTGAGACTAAAGTTCTCTTTTTTCAAGTCAGAGATTAGCTGGAAGCACAGAATGAAACAATGAGTATCATTCATGAAATACAAATAATTCATTCACACATTCATATTCTAACTGCTTCTACTGTGGAGGGAAGAATTACTCTTTGTTTAAATACTCTAGAGTAAAGCCACTTTATTATTCTGTTAATCTTTGTTCATCCTGAAGTCTTCTTCTTCATAGCGTCCACCGGCTGTAAACTCCGCCAGGAAAGTTCTGGTTTGTTCTTCCACTTCTGGTCCTTTATCTTATTCAAGAACCTGAGTTTCACTCTATGGTTCTAATTATTTATCCCTCACCTCTCAAGCAGATGCACTCCTATGATGAGGGAAACATCCCTAATTAGCCTATTCCTATGACACGCTTATTAGGAAGGGCAGTGGGTCTATTCTTTTTTTGTTCCCCAGAACTGGGCTCCCAAAACCACAGGGAGACATCCTGAAGTGTGTGTACATCTCACTCATGCAAACACATACACACATTTACAAGCACACATAAAATCCTGAAAATATATGTAGACATTAGAACACAAAAGTTATCTGGAGGCTCAAACTCAAACCTATATATACATATATATACACACACACACACACATATATATATATATATATATATATATATATATATATATATATATATATATATATATATATATATATATATATATATATATATATATAGAGAGAGAGAGAGAGAGAGAGAGAGAGAGAGAGAGAGAGAGAACGAACGAAAAGAGAGAGAGAGACAAAGAGTGAAAAGAAATTTTAAAGGGGGGTGGGGTCAATAAGAGACAGAGAGAGAAAGAGAGGGAGGGACAAAGAGAGTCATGATGAGAGAAGGTGTATCAGTGAGTGAGACAGTCAGCGAGTTAAAATATATAAATGAGAGAGAGAGAGAGAGAGAGAGAGAAGAGAGAATGAATGTGTCACAGAGATACATTTAATCTGTGTAAAAGCGCCAGTCATAAACAAAATGTAATCCCCTTTAGCTCAGTCTTAATTAATATACCTGATCGTATTCCTTCATAGTGTAACCACTCACTAAAGCTATCTTTCTGCACGGTCTGATGGTTGCTGAAAACATAATAAGATACAAACGTTATCAACCCAGTTTTAACTATTTTAAAAACAAACAAAGCTGTTCTGATTGTTGCCAGCCAGCAATATCAAATATGACAATGATGGGAACAACAAAAAACACAAAAATATGTTAATTCAGGGAAAAGACATTCAATATTAGTTGTCTATCCTATACCAAACCCATCATTCAAGAAGGGGTGGGGGGGGGGGGGGGGGGGGGGGGGGTTAATTTTACATTCAGTAGTTTGCCATTGCTTCCTGTGTGGTCGACTCTTAATGCCCCTGTTCCGCGTGTGGGTTCTAAGGCCCCGTTCTGGGGAAAACAAGAACAGATCCACCACCTACCCAATAGCATGTCATAAGAGTCGACTAAATTGGAGCTATCTTCAAAGTCGGAGTACATCGGCATGTGAGGCAAGGAAACAACAGTCTGCATGCATAGTCTGAGTCAGACGTGTGAAACAGATATGCATGCAACACTCAGTTTCTGGAACAGGGCTCCAGCCCAGAAGTGGAAGAACAACCAGACCTTTCCACCAGAGTTTAAAGCCAGTCTAATGAAATGTAAAGCAGTCTGGTGCTTTTGGAGTCAATATGGAATATGGTTCAAAACCCTTTATGTTTATAAGTCAATCAGCTCTATGTGGCTCATTTGGTTGGTATTTATCTGTCCGTCTTTCACCCTAACATGACACATATAACTTCCCTCAGAATAACTTACAAGCGATATCCTGTTTGCTTGTGGCCATTCAAAGCAGGCATTAAATGCAGCTGAAATCCATACTGAAATACAACATAAAACATAATTAATATAGATGTCTGATAAGGAACTATAAGAAATATGGGAGGATTTACCAGAATGCAGCACTATAGAACACCCATAAACCTTCAGTGTTTCTAGGGTGGTTAACAAAGGATTTTTCTATCAAAGTTTTTCTATTTAGGCTAAAGGATTAATATCCTCCAGATCAGAAAGGAAAAAAACTACTCTGACAGATTAAACATAATTACATATTGTATAACCAGAACATTCATTCACTGTCCGATTGTGCCATTTATGTCACATACATTTCTCCATTTAAATTCTTTTTTTTTTAATTCCTTCTTATGCCTAGGGCGCATCGGGCCTATTGGAAGAGCGCCCATATTTTTACAGACCAATAGGTACTGAGTGGGTAATGTGGTCAGCATTACGCCGGTCGTCTCTACTTCCCCAGGATATACATTCTGGTACCCATTTTACCCTGGGTCGACCTGCGACACCCCATACCATGATAAAAATCCACGCAGCCAGCAGTGGGTTTCGATCGCAGTACTTTGGAATTACGAGTCGGATTCGCAACGCCTAAGCCACGGACGCCGCCCATTCCATTCTACCCTGTGCAATCACTTGGATATCATAGATGAAATCCAGTCCAGCACCTTTGGCTTCTCTGATTCATGTTCGCCTTAAGGTTTCTCTTAGATGCCCACATTTCCTTAATCCTTTTCCCATTTTAGTGCCCGTCTGGTAATACTCTGTCTCTTCTTAGAATGTGTTCAATATAGTGCCATCTTCTTTCTCTTATTACTCTTGATACTAGCAGATGTCCAGACATTTCTCTTATTTCTTCACTCCTCTTGAAAACATCAAACTTTATGTCCATCACTGTCCTCAGAACAAATATGGAGGAAAATGGTTTGTTAACATACAAGACATGAAGGATTACCAAGAGTTAATTACCAGCTACAGCTTTCTGTCATAAATGCTTGAAAATTTCAGCACCCAAGTGCTGGCCTTTTGTGGCTGAGTTATAATTGAAATATTTACTATTTAATCTTTACATATTTACATTCATTAACACACAGAATCTTGGCTCCCCTACTTCTCATAGTCTGCGCTGTGTGGCTTTGGTAGTCATGTCTATCCCCAACCTTCTGTACTGGGTACTTCCAGTTAATTCTGACATGTCCCCATGTCGGTTCTGGGACCCCATTGTGACGGAAAACAGGAATAGACCCAACATCTCCGAAACAAGCATGTCGTAAGAAGTGACTAAATGGTGGGCTTCCTTTAAAGTTGGAGTGCGGCAAGGAATCAGCAGTCTGCATACAAATAAGCCAGGTCTGTAAAACGAATGCACATGCAAAACTAAGGTCCTGGAACAAAGCTGAAGTCCAGAAATAGACGAACAGCAAGGTCTTTCCGCCGGTGAACACAAACAACAAATAACAATTTTAACATAGATGAAAGGCCATGATGTCAAACTGTCCAGAATCTTCTCTCTTAGTCGCCCTCTGCCTCTCTTCCCCTCCAACTTTCCCACTGTCATGATGTACTCCAGTTTTTTGTTCTCATGACATGACCAAAGAATGTAGATTGTTTCTTGATGTGGGAAATCGGTTCTCTTCATGAGTCAGTTTCTTTCAAGACATCTTTATTACTCTTTTCATCTGTCCAGGGTATTCTCATTATTCGTCTATAAAACCATAACTCCGCTGCATCCATATGATTTTTCCATCATCGCCGACCAGTCCAGGCCACTGTTATGCGACTTCCATATATCGGAAAAGATGTACATAGCTCACGAGAATTCTCTTTCTTGTCTCAGTTGACAAACAAAGATTGTATAGAATTTTCTTTATTTTGTAAAATGCTGCTTTTGCTTGAGCTGTTCTCCGTTTAACGTCTTTAATATATCTTCCATGTGCTGTTATCAGGGTACTCAAGTACTATAACAACCTGCTACAGGATTGTCTTAGTTACTTTGATGTTGCATGCTAGAGCAACCATTTTCATTGTAATTAAACTATTTAGTTTTTCTGCTGTTCTTCTTCGTGTTCACGGTCTGTAAATTCAGACAAAAAGTTATGGTTGCTAATCCACTTCTGGACTCTTAGTCCTATTTGAGAACACAAGTGTTGCATACACATCCATTTTACATATCTGATTCATCTGTATGCAGACTGTTGGTTCCTTGCTTCTCAGGCAGATATACTCTGACTTTGAAGGAAGCTCCCAATTGGTCAACTCTTATGACATGCTTTTGGGTAGTTAGTGGGTGTATTCTTGTTTTTACCACTGTGGGACCCAAGAACCCATAGGGGATTTTGCTGTTCAAATTAAGACCCTTGTTTTGACTTTCTATAACAGTTATGTCCACTGTGTCTTGCAGTTGTGTGTTCATTGTCAGCAATCAAAACTATACAATCAGGATTTCACAGGTTTTTCATAATATGCCCACCAACTGATATTTCTGGCATACCATTTATGGATCTAATTATTATGAATAAATCGGTTGATAGTACACATCCCTGTCTAACCTTGTTTAATCTTTTAATATGGCCCTACTAATCAAATGAACTCAGCTCTCCTGTAAACTACGGCCGGTTGACAACAGTAGACGGCCGGTTAGTTGGAGTTCTGTCCCTTGGCTACAGTGGCATTACGGAGTGGAAAAGGCACTAATCACAACACAAAGTGACGTCGACATGGCTTGCAGACCCCGCGCTGCGACTCAAATTATCAACCGCATTCAATTACCGCTTCTTGTGGCGCATTACGGAGTGGACTATAGGGAACAAAACAAGTGACATTATTACTGTGTGTTGGCAATAGACAGCGTGCAGTGCCCTACTGTCATCATACGATTAGGATTAGGGTGTGGGTTAGGTTAAGGGTTAGGGTTTGGGTTGCTACTATGAGTTTGTGCAAAGATGAGATGCGGCGACACTAACGGTAACCCTAACCCACACCCTAACTCTAACCCAATACCTAACCCAAACCGTAAGATTATAGCAGGGCAGTGCACGCTGTCTATCGCCAACACATAGTAATCGTGTCAATTGTTTCGTTCCCTCCTTTTCCACACCGTAATTGCACTGTAGCCAAGGGACAGAACTCCGACTAACCGGCCGTCTACTGTTGTCTACCGGCCGTAGTTTATAGGAGAGCCATGAACTCTTCCCTTGGGTTTTGGGGCAATAAATGCACACACTATGCATGAGCAGCTGTAGCAGTGAATTTTACCCCATAGGACATCACACAGAGTGATAAACACCTGGTGACACAAAGTGCACCAATTTCACCATGCGGATGACGATCACCTGTGGAGAGGTCCCAGAAACCATTAGGCTATATTAAGGCCCCCGGCAAAAGCCAGGGTGTGGCTTCAAAGTAACAAAAAATTGCACCTCACATAGGGTCAACTTTTATGCATTAGCAGCACTAGTTACTATCACGAAATTGTACTACTAGTAGGTCTGTACCTCTTTATTTATCATGATGGGATGCAAGAATGTTAGGTTCCCCAAAAACTTATATTCATGTGTTTCATTATGACTGACAATAACAGACAGGTAATGACACACACACACACACACACACAAAAGATACTGATGACAGATAGGTAAAGCACCACAACACACATGTAAGAAAGAGTAAAGGGTCATTTTCATGTCTGTCTCCAAAGGCGAGTATACTTCAGTATTATGAGTATACGATCCTTCCCACACAATTTTATAGGTACATGACAACTGAAAAAAAAACAATATTGTGCAATAAGAAAGCCTTCCTGTTCTTTGACCACTGCCCTACAAAACATTAGATATGCCCCAAATGATTAAATAAACTTGTAACTCATTCTTCACCATTCACTGACTGATCAGTGATTCGATTCATTCAAACTCTCAAACTGCGATTGTTTAAAAACGGTTTTGTGATTGATGATAAACTTTAAAAAAAAATAACTCCATCGGTAAAACAAACAGTATACTGATATATGTGATGTTAACAGTTTTTATATTCTAGGGTGAATGAATACCTAAATCGTATTTGTGTTTACATCTCGTTCTCCCTCTTTCTTTCTCTGTTTTCCTTGTTAACGGCAAACGCTCAAATTTGGTTTCTAAATCATACGCATGCGCACTAAAAGATTCACAGATAGGCAACAAAACAACATTTATTACCTTGTAAAAACAATTATTATTAGTAGTATATACTAAACTCTGATGAATTTATTTATTTTTTGTTTGTTTATTTTTTATGTATTTCTTTAGTTAAAATAATATATTTTTCAAGTTGGAAAATATTTGATATTGTTACCGTAATTGTTGCGTGAAAATACCCGAATCTTTTTTATGCTGCTCTCGCGGGTATCGTCTGCTGCAAGGTTTGGAGACGAGGGGAACGACGACTCGAAATGTGTGGCCGGACTGCCTGGTAGACACATTTATGCTTAGTTAGCTTCCCGAAAATATAAATAATGTGTATTTATTTTTACTTAATTATGATTAACTACGTTAATAATCCTTAATGCGCAGTTAATTTGTATAGGCCCTAAGCCTCAGATGCTTTATCCAGAAGTTCGCATATTTTTAATACGACTGAGCCCCGTTGTAAGGGGTAGAAGTTCGGAGAAGAGCCAAAGTAATTAATTATAGGCTCTCCTCTGAACTTCGACCCGATATTATGGCGGCCATAAAATATCCTTGCGGAGCTTAGTTCTATTAAAAATATGCCAGCTCCGTAAAAATGCTCTAACAGGGTCTCAGCGATATGTTACTTGCCGACCTGTTTCTATGACTATGCCTCACCGCCGAGCGTATCCCCCGCGCCGCTACGCGCAGCGCGAATGCGGGCTAAACTAGATGGCTGGGACTCACGAGCAGCAGCTACCGCATCTCCCGCAACTTCCTCCAATTAATTATGTGTCCTAATCAAATGACGGGTTGAAATGGTAGAAGTAAAAAAAGGGAACGCAGAATTGAAAAAAAAAAACTGCAAATGTCTTAATCTGGCTAATTAAGAAGATATCTACAAACTTACTTATTTACGAAATACTCTGCATGCTCAAAAAAATTTATTTATCAACAGCACCACAAAACCGTAGGCTCTCCTCCGAACTTCATCCCTATGTATTATGGCGGGGCTATTCTCCGAATAACGGGCACTAAAAATGGCGGCAGCAAAATATCCTTACGAGCCTCAGTCACGTGTCAATTCCGCACTTCCGGCGACTTAATTTGCGGTTTTTCTGCGACATTTGCGGTTTTTCGGCGACATTTGCGGTTTTTCGGCGACTACCGCCACAAGTCCCCCACGCTGCTTCGCAGTGACTGAGGCTCCTAAGGATATTTTGCGGCCGCCATCTTTAGTGCCTGTTATTCAGAGGATAGCTTATGGCGGCCAAACAAATACCCTAACAGGGCCTCAGAGTATTTGTTTGCCCTGGATAATATTGGCCCGTTATTCGGAGGCAATCCTTATTTTGCCGTAATTTGTTCCTCGACAGGCACTCCGCATTTTACACACGACTGAGGCTCTGTTAGGGTATTTGTTTGGCCACCTTAATATGGGGACGAAGTTCGGAGGAGAGCCAAACCATGTTATGTCACAGCCTAGGATCTCTGTCTTGACATGATTTTTCAAGCAAAGAGTACGGAAAAATTGCTTCTAACTGATTGTCGATGCTCCCCTTTTTTTTGCGGTCGTAATAATACGCTCGTATGTACATGCCAGAAGAGGCAGATTTAACTGCAGATTAGCGTCTATGACAAGATCACCCATAGTTTAAAATGCTGCATCTGTTAGTTACTTTTCCTAACTTGTGCACAAGATTGTTGAATTCATCAACTTGTAATGTTTTCTGATAATTTAGTCTTTTCAACCTTTACATTTATTACTTGAAACTATTCTCTTCCATGTGCTACTTTACATCCTGTCAATGAAATCTAATATACTTTTTAAGTTACAGGTGGATGCGACCAAAAGAGTAGGGCAAGATCCCTGAGTCTTATCTTCTTGTTCTTCTTCACATTTGTCGGCTGTATACTTCGGCAGAAAAAATTCTGTTTGTTCGACCTCTTCTGTGCTCTAGTACTGTTCCAGTGAGTGTTGTGTGTACATCTGATTATCAGGTCTGAATCATTTGCATGCAGACTGTTGGTTCCTTGAATCTCAGGCATATGTACACTCTTCATGCTTTTGGGCAGGCGGTGGGTCAATTCTTGATTTCTCCACAGTGGGGCCTCGGAACCCACATGGGGAACCTGAGTCCTATAAAACTTGGAAAGCTTTAAGGGGGGGACATCAGTGCAGACTTTCATGGAAAATTGAATGTTAAATGTTGAATTAAGAATCAACATCACAGCACTCAGGACACCCCCATAAGCGCTCCGTCCCCATCTTCAGCAGCAAGTGAAGAGTTAAAATTTTGATGGTACCAGCAGCCGTCTGATTGTCTATGCCTTCTCCTCTCTCCATTTTCTCATCTTTTCCTCCTCCCTTTCATAAACAATATTAATAAAATTCTATATGCCTGAGAATGAGATATGACTTAAAACACATTATTCTATTGCAGTACGCTGGAACCTGATGATGTTGTAAAAGCATGTACATACAAAGATGGAAACGGCAAAAGAAGACATCCCATATGGAAAGATGCTCCTGGTGGCCAGACTTATTGGCCATCATATAACATCGCACCCACACAGCATACGTTAGTTTCATTTCAGTTAGTTAATTTTAAAAGCTGGACATTTCTAAAGTGCTTTCAGTATTTTTGTTGTCCCTTTAACATTGATTCCACTATTTCTGCTTCTTTCCACTCTTCTTGATAAATCATTGTCATGTGCCTTGCTGATAAGAATAGTTGGTCAAGTTTTGCTTTGCTCTTTTTCCATAAGTCTTGCCAGTCATCACGAGTTCTCAAGTCTGTTAGAAGATCCTTAATGTCAATAATCATGTAATTTTTCTGTTTCATTTGGCATTATGTATGTGTACAAGAAAACAGCTCTGTACTGATATAATTAATTTGTATGTAAATGACCTATATATCATAATTATAAACATGTTTCAACAAAATTGTTTTATATTAAAACAGTATGGTATCACAGGAATCTGTTTAAGAATGTAACATATTGTGTCCATTGATGTCGTTGTTCTGTGCTGTTGCATTTATCAAATTTAAAGTTAATGGCTTTGATAGCAGTGTCCTCACCCACTCAGACTTGAGATTACACCTAGATGATGTAGCCATTACAGGTGCCCTAATTATAACTTCTGGAGGTTGAAGAGGGTATCTGGGATCTGCCTTGTTGGTCTGTCGTCCAGATTGAGATGTTTAAATCTCAGGATGCTATGGTAAACTTTTGGCAGCTGCCTGGAGAGGACAAATTGTTCGACTCATAGCAGTGATAAACAGAACTGCTTTTGTGTTACTGGGATAAAGGAATGAGAGCATATATTACCATAATCTAATCTGCGACTATAGAGGGTTGGCTGAAGACCAGCTACTTTAGCCTATAAAAACTACTTGCAAAATCCAGTTAATTATAAATAAGTCTACAGCATATTTTAGTTGAGGGCCATCATGATTTGAAAGGGAAGATAAGAAATAAGCAGAAGATAGCAACAACAGAAAGTGACTAGCTTTCTTTATCACAGTGTAATTTGTGTCGAAATCATGATCGCTGTTTTATAGTTACTTGTTAATTGTAGTCTTCACTTGCTAAAGTTAGGGTCTATAGCTTTGACATTATGAACATGCTCGAATCCCAGCTGCATGAAATTTGGCAGCAGATTGCCTTATATTTGTTTCGACAGTGGTATCGGGAGCCGACTGTTCTTTAAGCACTGGCAAACTACTAAACATAAAATTGCCTAGAAAAATCACGAACAGCCAAATGATACCGTGATGTGTTCTGCAGTGTTATATTAAGGATATGCAGTTAACCTTAACATGGCTAAATAACTATGTATGGATTTGACACAATCTTGTTTGTTCTTCTTCTAATTTAGACCTGTGTTAGTGGCCTCAAACTTTGATGGCTTAATTAAAGGTGAATTTATTTCTGAGCGCACTATGACCCCAATGAAGTGGGGCCTTACTCCCTCATGGCATAAAGGAGACCCCTACAAGGTGCCTTATGAGACAAACAACTGTCGTGCTGAAGGGATGTTGGAAAAGAAGACATACAAAGTACCACTGCAGAAAGGCCGTCGTTGTGTTGTGTTGGCTGACGGGTTAGTAGATATCCTGTTTGATTAATGTATCTGTTTATGTTGTTGTTTTAGTAGTAGTTTATATATCTTGGTTATAATTGTGATATGTAGTTTTTTTTTGCTATTTAACACTTGGGTGTGTTTATGATTAACAGTTACATTCAGGGCAGCTGAACAGCGAAAATAGGCCAGAAAGAATGTTCAAACAACAAGCCTTTTTGTCTACAGACAGTGTGCCCTGCCCTCATTGTCCTAGACTCTTCTGGGCACGTATTGGACTTATAAGTCCACCCCTGGATTCACATACATTCAACTGCAGTTTCATGATGGATAAAAGAAAGAGTGGTCTTTATCACTTGTTATGAACGAATGAACATTTAGTTATTTCATCTTGCATAGATTATAATTTATTAAAGCATTGTAGGAGAATAGATTAGTTAGTTAGTTAGTCTTTCCTCTTGTGTCGAGTGCGGCACATAGGGCAGAGGTCATGACTCTCCATGCATGGCGGTTCGTTGCAATCTGTTGTAGGTCTTGGATGTTTGAGTGGTCCATGAGCGAGCCTTCCCTGATGATAGTTCTACGTAGAGTTTCCCTTGGTCTTCCACGAGATCTTTTCCCCTGTGGTGTCCAAATGAGGGCTTGGTAAGGAAGTCTTGATTTATCTATTTTAAGGGCGTGGCCAACATAGTTCCAGTGGCGTTCTCGTATAAAATTAGACACATACTCTTGCCTGGATTCTTGCCTTATTTGTGCATTGGTTCGGAAATCTGGCCATTTGAAATTTAGTATTCTTCTAAGGCATTTATTTTCAAAATTGTCTAATTTTGTGTCTAGATTTTTCGTTGATTTCCAGCTCTCGCATCCATAGGTTGGTACTGGAATAACACAAGAATTGAAGATCTTGAGTTTTGTGTGTTTGCTAAGTGTCTTTGATTTTCAGATGTTGGACAGTTTATTGAAGGCACTAGATGCCAGTGCTATTCTAAATGGTATTTCTGGTGCGGTATCTCCTGTAGATGACATCTTGCTCCCTAGATAAGTGAAACTGTTGACTTTTTCAAGGCTGTTGTTGTTCAGCGTGATATCAACTGAACTGTTGGTAAGGTCTAGAATTTTTGTTTTTGTGGTGTTAATTTGGAGTCCAATTTGTTCTGAGAAATTCTGGAGTCGATTGATTTTTTCTTGGGCGTCTGTGTGTTCTGAACTCAGGAGTGCTATGTCGTCGGCGAAGTCTAGGTCTTCCAGAATTTTGTCAACCCATGGAGTATAGATTACTGAGTTTAAAATATTTTAATTCTACTTTTCAATTAATTGCAGGAATCTTACTATTTAATCTGTCTTTAGGATTATTTAAAGTTCTGTGGGATAAAATTATACTGTTTTAAGATATTCAAATCTTTGTTCTTGTAATGTGCTGTTTAATCCTTCCCTTGTTGTCATTCTGAGTCTGTTTGAATAAATACTATAGTGGTCTCAGTGATACGTATTTCCCATGTGGGTTCTGGGAGGGGGGAGGATAATAGTCTCACTGCTTCCCTAACAAGCATAGTCATACAAGGTGACTAATTAGGGGAGTTTCCTGCACAGTTAGAGTGCATCTGCCTGAGAGGCAAGGAACCAACAGTCTGTATACCATTAAGCCAGATCTGAAAAAAGATATCCACACAAATTTCAAGATCTGGAACAAGACCAAAGTCTAGAAATGGATAAACAACCATAACTTTCCACCGGAGTTTACAGCCGGTGAACACTAAGAAGAAGTGAGACAAGTATGGCTCTGGGGCTGACCCAGCCTAATAATAAATTGGTGCCCGATCATTTCCAGAATTGTGTGTAAAACTGAACTTGGAAGGAAACTGAGCACTTCATCTTATATGTCTTGGCCTAGAATGTTTGAAGACTCAGCCCTTTTGACCCCTGGCTTGTGACTACATTCACCCCCCCCCCCCCCCCCCCCCACCCCCCAACTTCTCTAATGTTGTTTGAATATTAAATTATTAGACCAGTAACAATTATATAAAATAAAGTAACAGACTCCTGTTCAAAACCGTGTTCCATAAACATATATTTTTAGACGTATATTTGTAAAGACCAATCAGCACGTGATGGTTGGTGTAATCAGCATTGCACTAGCCACCATTACTTCCCAAGATATTGCCAGGTACCTGCTTTAGATTGGGTCCACCTAGGAACCAGTGTCACTTTGGAAACAATATTTAACCTGATGTGGATTCGAACCTAGTATCTTCACACTGGCAGATGAGAATCTAGCCGCTCTGCTACCATGGCTCCCAGTGCCATTTGAGTCATTAATTATTCACATGTTTAATAATTAGCTTTTTGACCTGCTTAGTGTTGGAGTTCTAAATTTGGCCAGTCTGATTTTGAAATACAGTTGACTCTGAATATCCGGCCCTGTCTGGCGGAAGAGTAGGCGGCGTAGCAAAAAGGAATGAATGTTTATGCCAAATTTACAGTATCTCATTCTTGTTTTCTGTACACTCTAGTCTATATGAGGGATTTTAAAAAAGTGTGTTTTCGTGCCACATATTTAATAGTTTATGCTCCTCACTATGTATAGAAAAGAAAAAAAAACAGCAAAGAAAAGGGAGCTCACTGATATTCAGTAATGTAATCTTGTTATTCTTTTCAGATATTATGAATGGAAAGCCACACCGGAGGGCAAACAGCCCTATTTTTTCTATTTTCCACAACCCAACAATATCACTTACCCAGGAGAAACGGCAAAGATAGAGATCATCAAAGATGAAAAGACGAATATTAAAGAGACACATCTTGACAAGGCTATAAAACAAGAACTGTTATCACAGGAAGTTGGACAAGAGACACACAACAGTAATCAGCGAAAGAGTAATACACTAATTAAACAAGAAGGTTCATCAGATGTTGAAACACATAAGTTGCCACAACCTGTTAATAAAAATAACCTAAAGCAGGAAAAGCCAGACAGCTGTGATATTGAAACAAAGCCTCCACATTCATTCTGGGATGCTGTGAAATCAGAGAAGTCAGAAGTTCAGTTGGATCCCATAACTGGAGAATCACAGTTGGTAAAGTCTTGTGATGTGGCAGAATCTGTACATGGTGCAGAAAAGTTGAAACAAGCTGATAATGGGGATGGTGCTAGTGACGAGGTCGGTGAATGGAAGGGTCAGAGGTTGCTTACAATGGCAGGAGTTTATGATGTGTGGAAATCTCCAGATGTAAGTTTTTTTGTTTTTTTTTTCACAGTGAAATAATAATTTTGTTTGCCTAAAGTAATGTAATAGGTGTAATTTTTTTTTTTGGGTGGGGGATTGTGTTAGTGGCATTGTAGCTGTATGTTTTTATTTGTCTCATAGTGGTATTATAGTTGGATGATTTTGTTTTAGTACTTTTATAAGTTTGACTTAGTGATGTTGTCTGCTTTTGTTTCTTGGTGGTGTTTTATCGTGTGTTTTGTCTTTCATAGTGGTGTTACAATTGTGGCATTTTGTTTGTCTTAGTGGTGGTTTAGTTAAATATTTTTAGTGATACAGTGCAGACCACTTAAGTTGATCTCGGATATGGTGAATTTCTATTGGGAAGAACAATTCGCTTATGTCCCAGCAGTTTGTCTTCGTACTGGCTAAGAGGAATTGCTCATAAGAACTATTTCTTGGGTCCCTGGTGAGTTTTGCTTATTGGGTCTGCATTGTATTTTGTTTTTGACTGTTTGTCATGGTGATGCCAGTGGTGCTATAGTTGTTTTTGTTTTGTTTTTATCAGTGATATTATAACTCTATATTTTTGTTTGTTTTAATGATGTGCTTTTTAAATTAAAAAAAAAAAAAACACACATTTAAATGTGACTCAGATTTGAGCCAAGCTAAGGGAGCTCCAAAAACATATGAGAAAACATGCTTTTGGAGCTTTGTCTGCTTTCTGACAAAGAAAGTGGTCCATGCCCAGTTATTGCTTGAGAAGGATTGTCATTTTGACTGTGTGTAGTTCAGAGGTCAACCCACTCTTGTAAATGAATACCAGGGAAGTAAAAATGAATACCAGGGATTTATCTTTGAAGAAAATATAAAGTAAGAAAGGTTGATGTTTGCCCATTAATAAATGACCTAGTATATATGAAGCTGTAACACATGGCTGCTTCTTCTGCCACTGGTTTGCATTTAGTTTTTTGAAACAAGAGATAGAAAATATGTTTTGAATTATTTCTTGTGTTTTTGTTTTAACTTGTTTAGGGATCCCCACCACTGTATTCCTACAGTGTCATCACAGTGCCTGCTTCATCAGAACTTGAGTGGTGTCATAACCGCATGCCTGTGAGTATTATACCCATTATGACCTCATAAAAAATAGAAATTCACAATTGTAATCACAGTTCGTTATTCAGAATGTTTGCCAACGTGAAACTTTGGTTAACCCTCACTCGCTTAACCCTGTTTCTGTTATCCATCATCTTCTTCTTCAGCATTCCGAGCCCTTGAGGTTCATTGCTGCAAATATCACCCACCTCCATTAATATCTCTGGTTGGCCTTCTCTTTCCAGTTGGTGACACCAAGTGTTTGCAGGTCTACCTGGACATTATCTCTCCATTGTCTTCTTGATCTGCCTCGTGGTCTACAACCCCAAAAATATGGAACGCTTCACGACTTTTAAAAAAAATCTATACAACTAGCCACTCAGGAGCAAAAATAATGTTATCAAAGTGCATTGATTGGTTTGAAATGCAGGAGGAGGCAAATGCAACACAGATCCTACTTCTGCCTAAGATTCGGAACATCATGCAGAAAACTCTAACCTTAAAGGTACAGAAGGAGATGCCAGATTATTTTGAAGTAACATATGTTTAAAGTATTACAGTACATTTTTGTAGATTACTACTATTATATTGAAGTTTATTTTTATCATTTTGTAAAATTAGATACAAGGGGAAGTCAGTAACCAATGGTTATGGGATGGCAGGAAAATGTAGTTGGTGGTTTCTATAGGTGTTATTAGGTGACAGCTACATCAAACTTTATGTCTCAGTTCGTTAGGTGATGCTAGGTGTTGCATGTTCATGCGCAACACAAAAACAACATGGCAACTGTACTTATGGAATGTATCCTCAATGAACAACGTGCTGTTGTGGTTTTTTTATTTGGGGGGGGCAAAAGGGCTGCCTGCAAAGGATATTCATAAGGAAATGCTTCCTGTTTATGCTGACAAATGTTTATCCCTTAAAGCAGTGCATAGCTAGGTAAAGAATTTTTCTCAAGGACGCTCTACGATTGTTGATGAAGTCCAATCTGGTTGTCCTGTTGAGATTGCAACAGACGCATCCGTGCAGCGGGTGGAGGAGATGATTAGAGGTGACAGGCAAGTAACGCTTGACTCTGTAGCAGCTGCAATTGGGTGCTCACATGATTTTTGGTTCACTGAAAACCCACCTTGGTGGGAGGCGTTTCACAAATTACACAGCAGTTGAATGTGAAGCGAAAATGTGGGTTAGAAAACAGTTCTATGCGGCAGGTTTGGGAAAACTGATAAAACAATGGGACAAGTGCATCAGTGTTGGTGGAAATTATGTTAAAAAATAATGGGACAGTGTATGTGAAAAAGTAAACAGTTTTCAAGTTGTTATTATCTTTAGTTTTATTTTAAACAACAATTTGTGACTTACTTATTGAATTACCCTCGTACAATATGTATTCTTTTGCTATTAGAGGATTTTATTTACATTTTCATCCCAAGCCAGCAGTGAAATTGTATTAGTAAACAAGAGCATTAAGAAATCTCCAGACGATGATGGATAATCAGAGTTTTACTGTAATGTAGACACAAAAAATTTATTGTCTGGCATTCTCCACTGTATCTCATCAGAGACATAACACAGTTTCAACCACACATTGGTATTTAGCTTTGACAGTATGGTTATAATAATGCACACATTTTCCTTAGGGGTTTTAATTAAAAAACAATAGAATGGAAGTAGACCAAAAGACAGACCAAGAAGATGGTGGAAAGATATACAGGCAGACCTACAAACATTTAGAGTCACCATCTGAAAAGAGAAAGCCAGTCACTAAGATAATGGATGCCGGTGATATCTGCAGCAATGAACCTCAAGGGCTCAAATGTTGAAGCAGTTCTTGTTTGTGGCACTTTTATATCGCTCAGTCACATCATGTTTTCTATTCAGATTGGCTATTGATTTGTCATGTTACTTCTTTAGGCCATACTGTCAACAGAAGAGGAAGTTCAGAAGTGGCTGGATGCAGCCAGCGTTCCATTGGAAGAGGTAATTATAGTACTCAGGTTATATTTGTTTTCGTTTTTTTTTTTTTTTTGTAAGAACTAAAGGGAAGGTGGTGATGTCTTTTATCAGTTTTATTATTGTAGTGCTAGTTTGATTATTTTATTAACGTATTCTTCTTTTCAGTTTTTCTTTTTAGCTCTCCAGGTTATTTGATTTCTCTGTGTGGGTTCCAGGGTCCAGTTTTTAGGGTGGGGATGGTTAATAGACCCACTGCCCTTAACAAGCATGTCATACATAAAGGACTTCTTCCTGTGCTACCATTTTGATTTACACCGACAGACAAGTTCTTGTGATAAACTTGACTGATTTGTTCCATACGACTTTGAATACAATGTTGACTCAGTGGGCCAGTATTTCCTTCTTAATGGCCTATACAAGGGACAGTCTTGTGGGACATGTTCTGTAGGTTGCACACACAATTCCACTATGGTGAACTACTTAGACGAAGCCTGTGCATATGTTTGTCAGGTTTGTTATGTCCTGTCCTGAGGCGTAGAATAATGACCTGCCGATGCCAGTCTAGTAAGTGGTAGTCATCTCTGCCAGATTCTGTTAACTTCTGATAGGATTGGATGGCCCTTTTCTTCTCAAAGTATGTTACGGCATCAACTTCCTGTTCTCATTCTGCCCCTTTCTTAACAGGAAATCTTTTACTGAAATCAAATGTGTTGGACCAAAAGCCTTATTGAGATAACAGCTGATCAGGTCAAGTGACATCAGATTAGGATATTAAGTATGGTCAGAGTGACAACTAGATGTGTCAGAGGTAAGGTAACAATTGGTCAGACCACAAGATTCAGCAAAAACAAACTATCCCAACTACTAATTGCATTTTGATAGCTGATAACTCATTAGGAATACTTTTTTTTTTTTTTTTTTTGCAATCTCAGGCAGCTTCCTTGGTCAAGCCACAGAATTGTTTGAAGTTTCATCCAGTGTCTAAGGCAGTGAATAATTCTCGCTACAAGTCCCCAGACTGTATCAAACCAGTAGAGCTCAGGTAAGAGATCTGAATTGTTCCCCAGCAACGACCCTTTGCTATAGATAGACCAGATATGTCATCCGTTTGAAGTACCCTCTTGCAAGACATGTGATCATCTAAGGTATCCCTGTGCTGCAGATAGGCCAACCCTGTGATCAGTCTGAGGTATCCATGTGCTGCAGACAGGCCAGACATGTGATCAGCCTGAGGTATCCCTGTGCTGCAGATAGGCCAGACATGTGATCGGCCTGAGGTATCCCTGTGCTGCAGATAGGCCAACCATGTGATCAGTCTGAGGTATCCCTGTGCTGCAGATAGGCCAGACATGTGATCGGCCTGAGGTATCCCTGTGCTGCAGATAGGCCAGACGTGATCAGTCTGAGGTATCCCTGTGCTGCAGATAGGCCAGACATGTGATCGGCCTGAGGTATCCCTGTGCTGCAGATAGGCCAAACATGTGATCAGTCTGAGGTATCCCTGTGCTGCAGATAGGCCAAACATGTGATCAGTCTGAGGTATCCATGTGCTGCAGATAGGCCAGACACGTGATCGATCTGAGGTATCTCTGTGCTGCAGATAGGCCAGACATGTGATCGGCCTGAGGTATCCCTGTGCTGCAAAAAGGCTGGACATGTGATCGGTCTGAGATATCTCTGTGCTGCAGATAGGCCAGACATGTGATCGGTCTGAGGTATCCCTGTACTGCAGATAGGCTGGACATGTGATCGGTCTGAGGTATCTCTGTGCTGCAGATAGGCCAGACATGTGATCGGCCTGAGGTATCCCCATGCTATAAATCAGTGGTGTCCAACCTTATTAGGTTTGAGGGATAACTTTTCTCTATGTGGGTTTCCGGTCTCATGGGGGGGGGGGGGGGGGGGGGGGTAGACTCACTACCCCTTTAACAAGCATGTCATAAAATGTGACTAATAAGGCTTGTTTCCTCCAAAGTATGAGTGCAACTGCCTGAGAGGCAAGGAACCAACAGTTTGCATAGAGAGTGGGGTCTGTAAAATGGATGTGCACAGATAATTCAAGTTCTTGAACAAGACTAACATCCAGAAGGTGGATGACCAGAACTTTTCCCTGGAGTTTACAGCCAGTGAATGTGAAAATGAAGGGCAACTTTTCATTGAGAAATCTTTGGTAGTTTGTAGACTACAGTTCACCTTGAGTCTACTTTGTAGACTATAGATGGAGTCAGTCAATACACATTTTACATACAGACAGTATGACCCAGACCACTGCAGGCACATCTCATGGCCTGCTGGTTGACATGTTGGTTATCCCTGGTAATAAATAGACCTGATGTGATCAAACGGGCACCATTTCCCCTTGCTTAAGAAAGGCCAGATACATAACCGGCTGGGGTAGCATATGCTATAGATAGGCCAGATACATAACCGGCTGGTGTAGTACATACTATAGATAGGCCAGATACATAACTGGCTGGGGTAGCACATGCTGCCAGATTTATGATCAAACTGAAGTTGTACAATGTTATAGAATTTAATGATATGACTGATGTAGCACCGGGTCACATCTGTTACAGAATTCAGCGCTTTCATTTTCTTCCAGCAGCAAACCGAAAGTGTGCCCAAGCAGCAGTGTGATGAGGAACTGGCTCAAGTCTGGATCTCCGGCCAAGAAAAAGAAAATTGAATAATCTCACCTTCGACCAGTGTTCCCTATAGATTTTGCAGTGTTTCCTGAAGATGTTTTTCTTGATTTTGTTTGTTTATATTTTGTTATAGTATGTTATAGTTGTATGTTGTTCATTTAAGTAGTTTTATACTTTTGTCTTTTAAAGATACTTTTTGTTTGTTTTTGTTATTTGGATAATCTCAACTTGGATTTTTATGTGAACATTAAATTGAACTCACCTGTTAACTTTGGTTTGCATTCCATAAGTTTAAAATAGCTGAAGATTATTTATTTCATGCATGTTACAGAAAATAATTTTATTTTACATTGTTTTTATATCTTGATGACTTTGCTTTGACCGAATTTAAAAAAAACCAATAGAAGTGGGCAGTTACTTTCTTTGTTTGCATTTATTGGTACTTTTAAGTATACTGTTTTACCTTTTATCTTGTCTGTTAGTGGAAGCTGAGGTAGCTCAGCAACTAGAACTCTTATTTTTAGGGTTGTGGAAACAACAGCCTGTGGTGATTGGGAATTACCAGCAAGACTCGCTAACATTAAGAGATATCTTCCATAGTTAGTGCATGGGATTTCCGGGCTACTTCATGCATTTAATATGCTTCTTCTCAGATGCTTAGCTCTCAACCTATCTGCAAGAATTTTCTCATTTATCCTTGTAATATTTTCTTCATGATTTTCATCCTCTCGGCAGCAAAGTCCAAATCATTTTATTTCCACGAATCTGTCTGTATCATTTGCGTCCCACTTGCACACATCTTTATATAACAACAGTAAAGGCCGACTTATCTCCCTCATATGATGTCTTTAAAAAAAACCACTGATTTGATTTGATTCAAGAACTGACATCACAGCACTCGGGGCATTCCTATAAGCGCTCCGTTCCCATCTTTAGCAGCCAGCGAAGAGTTCCATTACTAATGGTGCCAGTAGCATTCTGATTAAATGTCCGTCTTGCCTTTCCTCTTAGCTTCAAGCATCTGCCAGAACCTCTCGTCACTATCAACTGCATCAATCTCACCACAATGGTGATCAATCTGCTCCTCTGAACTGTACAAGCTCTCCCACAAGGCACTAACCACGTCTGCCTTATCGTGCATCAGTATTCCACCAAGCTGTGCAGAGCCAGCCAGTCTGTCCGCCTGTTCGTTTCCCAACAAACCGGCATACCTGGTGAAAAAAAATCCAGGCAATACTCCTCACCCGGGTCCTCCACAGCGAGGCATGCCATTCTGCACGAAGCATACCTGTCCTGATCTTCCTCAGCATTCTGAGTCAGTTAACAATCACAATGTGTGTATTATGTTCTCTAGCCAAAAGAAAGATGCAGTGATAGCCTCCACCTCCATTCTTAAGCTGGATGTTGTGGTATCATATGCTAGGCTCTCCTGCACCAAACTTCGGACCATTAACTTTTGCTAAGAAACCCCAAGCACTTCTTTTGCCTCTTGACACTGAACCGTCTGTGTAAATCATCAAATCTTCTGAGCAAGCATTATCTTGAATTAATTGCTGAATTTCCACCTCTGTGGCACCTGGTGGCCAGTCTCTGCATTCCCAGCTCAGTGTGATTATGACCCTACACAAGTCTAACTTTTCAGGTGGCACTTTGACCCACTCCTCTCCTCGTCTAATGCTCTCAAGGATGCAAACCTGTCTGTGTCTTCTGCCTGAGCCATCCATGACTTCCCTCTTATCAGCCGCTGACCCTTAACTGCAGCCGCTGACCCTTAACTGTACCCAGAGCTTCGTGCAAAGGGTGGTCTGTGTCTGCAGCTACCCTGAGATATGACTTCGCCTGCAGCACCTTGTGCCTACCTGCAACAGTTGACAAACCAAAGATGTATCGCATACACACCACTGGGGTGTGTCTGGTGCAACCCAGAATGACCCGCATTGCTGCGTTCTGTATGTGCTCTAGTTTGTCCATCTGACTCTCTGAGACAGTAAGCATTCCCAGGCATTCCATTCAAAACACATATAAGAGTAAGTGTCAACTGTTTATTTTGTAACCATCCTAACAATAAACATAAAATAGTCATTTATTTCCATTCTGTTGTTCTAAACTTTGTTCTAGTTCATCTAACTTGTCCTCCAGAACTGCCTTCCGCAGGTGGTGGAAGAAATCAAAGTACTGGTGGAAGTTATGTCTGTGGATTATAGTAAAACCCACGGATAAATATTGCAATTCTAACTACAAAATAAATTCTGAGAGATTAACAAAAGCAGCTCAGTCTATCTGGTCCAACACTTCCTGCTTTCAAATAATGATACTCTGCAAATTGTACATGCATATTCCATCACAACTGTAAAATAATCTTACAAAATATGATCTCCATATAAGTTAACTTTGCCATAATCTTATCAATCTATCAAAATACTGCAGTGAAGGTTGATGGTAATGTAATGAGTCTCCAACACTCCTCTGGTTAGTTAGGCTCCATACACTTCCGACATGAATCACAGCGTTTATGGCTGTTCCCCAAGCTAAAAATGCTTCTTCTTCTTATTAGCATTCATTGGCTGTAAACCCCGACAGGAAGTTCTGGTTGTTTGTCCATTCCTGGACTTTGATCCTGATGCAGAATTTGAATTTCACATGCACATCCATTTTACAGATCTGGTATTTTGTGTTTTGTTTTTTTTTTGGTATGCACGCTGTTGGTTCCTTACCTCTCAGGCAGATGCTGAAGGAAATGCCCCTATTAGTCAGCTCCTACGACATGCTTGTTTTAGGGGGAATGATGGGTCTATTGAGTCATGTAAGTCACTTGGGAAGAAATTTTCTGAAATTAACCTAATTTGAGGGAAGACATTTTCTGAAATTAACCTAATTTGAGTCATATAAAGTTCTGCAAAATACGATGCCCAGGCTTTAAGCCGTTCCCAAATATGGCCTTCCTGAAATGCTTCCAACAATAGTTAGGTCACTGAAAAAAAGTGTGTAGAATCTATTTTGAAACCTCCAGGCGAGTAACTTACTCTTGGTCACAGATTAGATTTATAAACTTTGTATGTAGCTTGGATACACTTTTCGTAGGAGCTGCAGTAGCGTAGTGGCTAGACACTTGCCTGCTGGCCCAAAGGTTTTAAGTTCAGATCTGAATCAAATAATTCTTTCAAAACTGACTTTGACACCCAGGTCCGTCCAGCCTAAAAAAAATGGGTACCAGGTAATGTCCTAGGAAGCAAAGGTGGGGGGGGGGGCATGACCATATCACCCACAAAGTGTTTTGACAGGTCTATAAGAATATTAGTCAAGCATTACATGCAAGATGCGCTGCTGATGTGGGGAAAAAAAAGGTTCTTTCATTTTACAAAAGTAAATCATATTATTTCTTCTTCTTTATGTTCAGCGGCTGTAAACTCTGGCAGAATATTCTGGTTGTTGCTTATATGTTTTACAGATCTGGCTTTTTTTGTATGCAGACTGTTGGTTCCTACACTGAGGAACATAGAGTACACATTGTGTGGAAAATCATGGTAAAAAAAGAATTAAGGTTGTTGAGTATCCTTTACAGGACGTTGCAGAACCAACCCTAACAGCCCCTGGCTGTTGTGTGGTTTCTCTAGGCAATTTACGTCCAGTAGTTTGCCATTGCTTTCTGGACGGTCGGCTTTCTTGATACCACTGTCGAAACCAACGCAAGGCGCATTGCCCGCAGCTGGGATCGAACCCGGCATTACGAAGCGAAGCGTTCGCATCGACTTATCCACAGAGCCGACAAAACAAAGAATAAACCAAGTGAAACAAATAATACACCCTGTATAAAATTTTTAAAAACGGTAAAACAAAGAACAGATTTTGTGAAACAAAGAATGCACCCTATGGGGAAATTAGGCATGGTGAAACACAGAATGCACCCTATGGGGAAATTAGGCAGTGAAACACAGAATGCACCCTATGGGGAAATTAGGCAGTGAAACACAGAATGCACCCTATGGGGAAATTAGGCAGTGAAACACAGAATGCACCCTATGGGGAAATTAGGCAGTGAAACAAAGAATGCACCCTATGGGGAAATTAGGCAGTGAAACACAGAATGCACCCTATGAGGAAATTAGGCAGTGAAACACAGAATGCACCCTATGGGGAAATTAGGCAGTGAAACACAGAATGCACCCTATGGGGAAATTAGGCAGTGAAACACAGAATGCACCCTATGGGGAAATTAGGCAGTGAAACACAGAATGCACCCTATGGGGAAATTAGGCATGGTGAAACAAAGAATACACCCTATGGGGAAATTAGGCAGTGAAACAAAGAATACACCCTATGGGGAAATTAGGCACAGTAAAACACAGAAAATATACCCTATGGGGAAATCAGACATGGTGAAACAAAGGACACACCCTATGGGGTAATTAGGCATGGTAAAACAAAGTATACACCCTATGGGGAAATTAGGTATGGTGAAACAAAGAAAACACCCTATAGGAAAATTAGGCACAGTGAAACAAAGAAAACACCCCTTGGGGAAATTAGGCATGGTGAAACAAAGAATACACCCTCTGGCGAAATTAGGCATGGTAAAACAAAGAAAACTCCCTATGGGGAATTTAGGTATGGTGAAACAAAGAAGATACCAGCTGTCTTTTAGGTCATACTTACAACTTAATGTTGAGGTCCGTATATAACGTCTGGTCTTCTGTGCATGGATTTGTACATCCCAACTCCAGTCGAGCAGCTTGAGAACTTGGGGGAAGAGAGTAGTCAGCCACTAAGGCAAGCCCTTGTTCCGCTAGAGTGTGTGGGTAACTGCCAGCTGGCTAAGGAAATGGTGCTAAATCTTTTCAAACTAAATTTAAGGTCCCTTACACAGTCAAAATAAACATGTCACCAACGCCATTACAAGAATAACTCCAGCTACAGTCATATGTGTTCAGCCAAATGGATTTTTAAAACAATGCTAGTCATATAGAGCACATTAAAATGAAAATGGTTTTCATTACAGTGTTTATTTCTCCTTAAGTATGGAGACTTCTGGGACACCCTGATACTTGCAGAATTGGAATACTCAGTGGTTTAGCTGCCAGATGCTTGCCTGTCAACCTGAAGATCTAAAGTTCAAATCCACACCGAGTTAAGTTGTTTTTTTTTTTAAATTATCTTGGGTCCCATACTGACCCAGCCTAAAATGAACACCGGGTAAAGTCTTGAGAAGTAAAGGCACCCAGCGGGATGTGGGCCACATCACCCAAATAATGCTGATCGGTCTATAAACATATGAGTCTATTATCCTATGCCCAATATGCCATCGTTCCTTTTCTTTACTTGCATCAGCAAAGAAAAATGAAACTGAAAATAATACAGAAGTTAAACAAAACTATGCAAAGTAGAGGCCCTACACCAGATAGAGGCCACTCGCATCGTTGGGTTTCTTAACATTAGTAGAACCTTAGTTATTAACTTGTTTATATATTTAACTTATTCATATTTCGCTCCCTCTTTTTACACAAACCTTCTTACTTATTTTGTTTCATATTATAGCCATTCATATTCATATTTTTCCCACAATTACACACTTCTTGGTTTCATGTTGACCTAGCTTTTTTTTTATTTTTTTATTAGAAGCTCTGTTGTCTTGTTCACTGAGTTTTCCAGTCACAATTTGAGCAAAGGATACGCACTAGAAAACACATCAATGCCAAGTCTGAAAGCTTTGATCACTTGCAGTGGAGACCACACAGTTTCCATCATGCGGGGCTTGTCTTCTGGCAGGCATTTCTGCAGACATTCATAAATATTTATCAAATTATTTCAACTGTACAATTTTTTTTCACAGTTCAAACACATGAATAACTTTTACTGACAGTGAAGGTGAAAGTGAAGGGCTTGTTTGCACGATCTGAGCTGCACTGTGCAGGCAGCGCTGACCTAATAAGGAGAGCCCAAAAAATAATTCTTCCTATCAGAAACTCCTCTTATCCAGATGAGAGTTCAAGCAAGAAAATCTGTTCTTTAGAACAGAAGTTCACCACTTACAGGATTGCCTTAAGCAGTCTGTACTGTGTAATGTTACTGGAATCTTTCTGTCTTTCCAGATGATAGTGTTCCACTATCCTCAGGCAAAAATGGATTGCAACACTAAGCACTTCACGTATAGCTGCCCCAACCTTCATCTTTGTGCCAGGTCATGTGGGTGTTCAAGGGAACGAGCATGCAGACTATCTTGCTGACATTGCAGTTGCTATGGCTGGCCTAGTACTGGACAGAAGTGATGTTATGCGCTACACTTACCGTACAGAGAAGCACGCCAAAGGACATAACTCTGTATCTTCTAGACTGATGGACATGGGGGTGCAGCCTAGACCTGCAAGAAATGAACATTTCACTAAGGGGACAAGACGTTTCATTAACCAACACAGAACAGGAGTGATCAGTCGTTTTTCACTTGTGGAGCTTTTGAGGAGGAGATTGGAGCACCTATGGATCTTTTGGAGTGCTGTGATCATAATCCTTTCTAATACTAATCACTAATCAGTGTTCCACTGAGCTATACAGCCAGGGCAGCATAGTAAAGACCATGTGTTGCCCATGCAGCATGATATCTCCTTTGGCCTGCCTTGTTAATCCCAAAGGAAAGGTAACACCAATAAATTCGGAAGGGCATGCAGTGACGGCCTAAAATGTTTACAGACTAACTGGCACTCCCCAATGTTGTGATCAATATCATGCTGGTTGTCTTGACTTTTGAGAACATTTACTGATTCAAGTTTTAAGCTGGACTAATCTAAAAATCCAGGCCAGTTTTAAAAATCAGCCACGACAGTGATTAAAATTCTTTTATCCGCCCAGAAGGCGTCTTCACCTTCACGATATCATAATTTCTCCACTGGTCACATGTTAAAATGTGACTAGATCACAACGGTCATATAAAATAAGTCACAGTAACAATTTATTTTTAGACACAGATGTGTGACCCAGTTAATTCTCTGCTGCAGTGGCTCCTGTATTATCTATCGAACTTACTACTTTTTTTGGGTCAATAAATAGAATTGTTTTGATTTTTGTTTCATAGCCTGAGTAAACTGGTTGTTTTTTAAGGAATTTTTCCCAGGGATTTACTAATTATGGGGCGCTGGCATTTTCTTAGGTCATGGGGGTGGAAGGGTTTAACGCATGTGGCTTTGCATTAAAATACTAGGACTGTGTGTTTCTGACGTAAACCAGACAAATGCTGCAGAGCAGAAGAAGAAAAACCCAAAATCATCAAGCCCAAAATATAATAAAGACAACTAAAACAGGTCTAAAAAAACTCCTACATCACAGACTTCTTTCAAATCCAGCAGAATATATACCCTTAACTAACTCCTTCACAGACTTGTTCATGACTAACTGAAATTGTGCAGTTAAAGTTTCTGCTGGCCGAGGTACCCTTCTAAGTTGCAGTTACAACATGCATGGCTTCTCTAATGTGTCAAGATAACAGAATATTTGCTATAACAACAACAGTTTTGATTGAAAAGAGATATCAGCCATTTTTATGATGTTTACTGCTATGCTTAGAAGGAAAAAATACTCACAATAGTTGTAGTTAGTATATTAGAGAAGGTGTCATGGCTAAATAGGTCTTTTCCGCTGTTGCCTTTTTCAAATCCCTCAATCAAAAACCCTGTTTACGGTGAAAGAAAAATGTAATTAAATTAGTACAAAGCCTGAAAAAGATTAATTCTAGCATGTATTTTATTCATTACAGATAACACTACTTCATAATATTATCGTGAAACATGCCCTAATAGAAGCTGGTGTAGTAGTCTTCTTCTTCTTCTTCTTCAGCGATCTCTGGTCTTGCACTTAATCCATTGTGGACCATAAACTGGCATATCATCTCCAGGTCTCTTAAGTTTCCCCAGGTCTACTGGATGAAGTCACTTGTTGCTTTGCAACTCCTACAGGAAAGGACAGTTTTAAAAGACATGTTCTGGAGTCTGTTCAGAACAGAGAGCTGATAAAGAGCTGTCTGGCTTATACCTAATTTATATGAGTGTTTGTTGAGTCTGCAGTGTCCAGTGTGCAGGCAAAAATTTTTTACTTGGTCTGTTCTGTTCAAGTAAATAAGTAGCCAAGTGAACATGTTGATCTCTAAATTCTTGACCGCCTTTGATTTCTCTCATCAAGCACTCCACTCTCTTATTCTGTACTGATGGGCAATTACCATACTGTCTTAGGTATTAGTGTGTTTTCTAAACTAGTTTTATTCTATAGTAAATACTGCACATAAGATAGCCTTGAGTGGGTACTGGGTGCAGTCCCGGGAGGTATAGGCGGCCAGCGTGATGCTGACCACATCACCCATCTTGTGCCGATTGGTCTATAAAAATGTAGGTCTAGCCCTATATGCTCTACACGCCTAAAGGCATGGAAAAGGGACCTTTACTTTTACTTTCAGTTAAAGATGGAACAGTTAGAAACTAAAAAAGACAGAAAGGTATCTCCCCACTTCAGCACAGTTAACAAAAGACTAAACACATCTATAAACAAGAGGCGTAAAAATGCACTGATAATTTATATTACTCATTGGTTATAAACAAAATTTACCCTGCACAGGTCGTAAAGCTGTTTCCTTGGCGGACCTCACTCTCTCTACCTCACTGAAGCCTCCTTCAATAACACCGATCAGACTAGACTTGCTCAGAATCTATATGAAATTTAGAAGTGTTAAATACTTTAATTAAACTGTTCAAGCATACAGTAGTAGACAGAAATGTTTCAATTATTTACCAAAAATGGAAACTGCTACATTCACAAATAAAATCTGGCCCATTTAGTTTTGGTAAACTCAGCTGTGGCCAGACATCACTATAACTATCAAATACAGGAAGAGTCTGCTACAAAAGAGACATCAGGTTAACCAAATACACACATCTTTATAGGATATGGCTACGTAAGCGACATCTATCATCAAGGCATTGCATCTACCAGCTACAACCAGGGGAGTGGTGATGGGTCTTCAGCCCCAAGAACCCACCAAAAGCATCCAGAAAACCTGCTAATCAAATAGATGAGGGAAAGTACAGTGGATCTAACAGTGAATACTGACCAACAAAGGCAGACACAGAGGGTGTTGAACCGAAGCTGTGAGAGAGACAGCCAGTTAAGTGGAGTGGATTATGGATAAAATATTTGCAGATACAGCATGATCAATGATGTGAGGGTAGGAAGAGAAAAGGCTTCGACATAAACAATATTTTAATCGTTATAAAAACAGATAAGTGAAACTGTGATGCAAAATTATGAGAGATACTGAACAGGTAAACAAAAAAATTATTTATAACAAAGATATTTAAAACATATACATCAGTAAATTCCAATATATAATTATACAAAATATTCAATTTGTTTCTTTCACTGTAAATTAAGCAAAGATTGTGAGATATCGGATAATTTTAACACCTCATATGACTAATGCAAATTAACACGAAGAACAGAACAGTGCAAAAATAACTGACCAGAGTTACTCTACCTGACTGTTTTGCATTTTCTCTACAATTTCATCCAAGAAATCTAAAGTCCTGTCAACCGACTTATGCAGACGTTTCTGGCCACATTCTCTGTCTGTGTCACCATCACTCATGGCCTGAAACCAATCTGGCTGAAATGCTTCTTGGACTTTCATGAACAGCGCAGTGTCCAGCTGAAAGATAAACTGGTTATTGCAACTGTTTCTGCAGGAGGTCACAGTATATTAGATTAGACATATAGGATTTTCCTGAAATGTGAAATATACCATTGTCTGTGTGCATTTCCTTTCAGGGTTAAAAAAAATCAGAACATGCAATGCCTTCCTAACAAGCATGTTGTCAAAGAGACTCATTGGGGGAGATTCCTTCAAAGTCGGAGTGCATCTGCCTGAGAGGTGAGGAACCAACAGTCTGCATACAAACTCGCCAGATCTGTCAAATGGATGTGTGCATGCAAAACTCCAAGATCAAAATCCAGGAATGGATGAATAACCTGAACTTTCCACCGGGTTTACAGCTGGTGAATGCAAAGAAGAAGAAGATGAAGAAGAAATACACCATTCAATTACAGAAGTAGTAATATAACCCAATGGTCATTCTGTTTTCATGGTTAATGAAATTTAGTGAAATTCTTCTTCTTTATGTCCTCTTTTACTGCCTTAGGTGTAGAGGGAGATAGAAGGTCCTGCTTCGTGATTTTCGGGCTGCTTCGACCAAAGACACATCACAGTACTGTATAGTTTCTCTGATGTTATCCTTCCATATGGTTCTTGGTCTTCCTCTTGCTCTACGTCCCTCTCCTCTTTTGGTATATGCCTTGAAAGGTATAGCATCAGAATGAATCCTCTCTAAGTGGGCAAACCTTTTGATTTGCTGTCTTTCTTTGTAATTTAGAATTGGTTCTGTGCCAACTTTATCTCATATGACCTAATTCCTAATTTTATCTCTTCTGGTCACTCCTACTGCGCTTCTCAGGCACCTCATTTTCATGGTTAATAATTTTCTTTTATGTTTTGTTGTGAGTGAAACTACCGTTCTTTAATTCCCCAGGTACCGAGATTAGACACACAGACAGATTTTTTTAATCAGGGTGAAAAAAAGGACATCCATTGCAGATATTGACAGTCAAAAATTTAGAGAACAGGCTCATCTTACATCAAACTCTCTTATTCCTTTACTGTCTCCAATAGTTCCTGCTATGTTTTCCCCACACTACTTATATCCAACAGGAGTCCCTGTGGCCGAGCGGCTAGATGCTCGCTGCGGATCAGAAGGTTGTGGGTTCGCTCCCTGGCGGAGCCGGACTATTTTCAAAAATGAACTTGGCTTCCAGGTCGACCCAGTCTTGAGTGGGTACCGGGTACAGTCCCGGGAAGTAAAGGAGGCCGGCGTGATGCTGACCACATCACCCATCGTGTGCCGATTGGTCTATAAAAATATAGGTCTAGCCCTATATGCCCTATACGCCTAAAGGCGTGGAAAAGGGTCCTTTACTTTACTTTAGTTACTTATATCTAACTTTAACTGTTGCGTTGTCTGATCTCACACATCTTTTTGTCTTTTCTGCCTTTCATCTTCTGATGCAGCATAGACCCAAACAACTCTTTTTAGATCCCTTCTTATAACACATAGGTTGATTTACTATTCATTGTAGTAACATATGAATAAACAATTTTTAACTGGCTGAAATATTTTTATTCACTGTTTTTGAAGATTTTTTTCCCATAACTTTTTTGATTTTGTAATGAGGTGTTTTTTTTACAAGATGAGCCTAATATTAACCCTCCCTATCATTTATAGTTACTGCTTTTCACTGATCACAATCTTTCAGTCATGTTGAGGCTCTAGTTTCCAAGCCTAAAAACTTCACCACAACAGATTTATCCTCTCACTTACTACCACCCTCACAATATCTGTGCCAAAAATATTCTCTTCAGGCATCTCTCCATCCTAAGGGCTCACCCTGCCACAAGCATGATCTTCTCTGAACTTCCTCTAGTGGTCTACAGACATGAACGTAACCTTAAGGACCTTCTGGTCAAGAGTTGATTACATTCTACATCTGAGTCCCAATGAGGCAAGATCTTCTGCCACAGACCTGTATGCAAAACTTGTCCATATGTGTCCCCCTGAAAAAGTTTGAAATTCTCAAAAGCCATCTTCCACATACGTGAGACATTCTACTGCGTCTCTTGAAAATCGCTTTATTTTCACCTTGGGGATACAAAAACCTAGGGGACTGAACTGCCAAAACAGTTTCATCTAATCTCTTTGAGTTACAGCCCTTGGCATTCTTGGTCAATTTGCTTATGGGCTGCATGTGTTTCTTTTTCAACTGGCAAGACATCAATGTGGCTGCTTCATGAAATGTCATTTATGTATTCCTGAGGTTTTGTTTGATTTATGTAGGTGCTGATGAAGGCTCTGTAGCCACAACGCTCAATTTCTTAATGTTTGTTATATTGTGATTCGTTCGATTTTATATCATTCTATCCTATCATTTATAGGAAGTTTGGTGGATTATCTTCTTTTACCCCACCTGGACGTCACATAAGCGATAAACACCCGATGACACAAAGTGCTACCATGTGGATGAAGACCATATTTATGGCCTGGCTATATTGCGGCCCCTGGCAAGAGCCAGAGTAGGGCTTTAAATAACGAAAAATTGCATTCCACAAGGGGATGTCTAAGGTAATAGATTTTGGTGGATTATGATGTTAATATTCCTTACTTCCACATTACATTTTTGTGTTTTAAACTTTTATCTATACTACTGAACCAAAAACTCATATGTCCTGTTTGTCTGTCCCAAGGATTTCTAACAATCCATAGTGTTGTGACATTAGCACATGTCATTCTGGATGCTATTTCTAGCCAATTGTGCTTTTTTCAACGCCATGCTGCAAACCAACGATATGATCACTAACCATTAATATTCACCAATATTAATTGTTGTTGTTGTTATCGATCCAGCGGCGCATGAGCTTTCGTCCTTTGGCCCACTGCCATGTAGTGGAATTTACATGTTTTCACAAGCTGTTCTTTTCCTCCGTACAAGGTGTTCCACTTGTCTGGTCTCGGAGGGAGTAGCATTCTTTTAGTCTCGCTGAGTTTTGGGCACTCAAAGAGATGGTGTTCAACAGTTTTGTAGGGGTAGTTACATAGCTGGCACTCTGGGGAGTGTTGTGGCTGTATTCTGTTTAGATGTCCATTGAGTGGAGTATGTTGTGTTCCAAGTCTGAAGATGGTGGCCTGGTCCCTTCTTGTTAGATGGTTAATGCTGTCATTAGGATCAGGGCCAGCCATGTGTCTATAAACCTCTCTTCCAGTGTCTCCTATGGCCCATCTGTTCAACCAAGTCTCTTTGTTTATAGCTCTTATAAGTGTTTTTGCTGTCTGTAGGGTTGTCGCTGTTCTTGTGTTGCTCCTTTCTTTGCCAATCTGTCAGCTCTGTCATTACCTGGTGTGCCGGAGTGGCCTGGAATCCACTGCATCACTATTCTGATGTTGTATGAGGTAATAAGCTGATCAGCATCCAGGATTATCTTGGCTATGTCAGTTCTGCAGCGTTCACTGCCCTCCAGAGCTTGAAAGGCAGACATTGAATCTGTGAAGATGACAATATTTTGGGCCTTTGAAGGGTAAACATCCATTACAGTCTTTAGGTGGTATACTGCTGTTTCCAGTGCAATTATTTCGGCTTCATAATTTGAACAGAATTCCCTGCATGCATCAAAAATCTCTTCAACAGATCCATAGGGAAAACCAATATTAATTCCATTGAGTACCTTAACACTCTTATGCCCCTTGAATGTGTAAATGTTAAGGCACTAGGAAATCACCCAAAGTTACATGTTTGGATTAGACAGACGAGAGCTTCTCAAATGGACAGCTGAATATGGGATTCTTTAGAGTGAAGGATCCCCAAACATTGATCATCATCGCTGATGATCAATAGGAGACTACAAATATTCCATATAGGCAAGTATATATATATTGCTGTTATCTACATACAATCTTGAAGCCTAGACAGTAAGTGTCATTATCTTTTAGCAGTTAGAGCCACGACAGCATAGTGGCTAGACCAGTGTTCCTAAAATGAGGGCTACTGCCACCCTGGGGAGTGCTGGGGCAGTATTTCCACATCTGTAAAATCTCGAGGGGAGGGGGGCGGGGGAGGTGGCAAATAGGGGCAATTAAAAAAATTAAGAGAGGAAAAATTAGTAGACGGAGAATTTACATTTCCATTAACTACCCCAGGCATTAAATCTAATATATTATATTTAAAGAAATGGGTATAATGCTGAATTATAATAATGGTGATAACAATGGTGATAAAGGCCACAGTAAAGAAAACAACAAGTAAACAACAACCTTAATCTTGCCCCCTTTGCCCCAAACAGCCACCCCTGAGTTGTCATTCTTGCCGGTTGCCAGAGCCAGGCTAGCATCATGGAGGGTTGTAAATACAAGCTTGTTCTGGGAACACAAAAATGACTTCAGTTAATTACACAACAAACTTTGTGTGTGTGTGAAACAGTTATAGATTTACCTCTTGTTTGCTGTGGTATTCACAAGGTTCTATGAAAGCCTAACCCTTTCAACTCAAACAGTAGCATCTGTAACTCGACTACTTATACTAAATGTACGCATCCTGACTTGCCTGATCTAACTATGAGACATCTCATTAAAAAAAAACTGTGATTGGAAGGTTCATAATGTAATACTGCTCAGTCATGTGCATCACTTCTTCTTCTTCTGCATTCCGAGCCCTTGAGGTTCATTTCTGCAGATATCACCTGCCTCCATCCATCTCTTTGGTTGGCCTTCTCTTTCCAGTTTGTGACACCAAGTATTTGTGGGTCTGTCTGGACGTTATCTTTCAACTGTCTTCTTAGTCTGCCTCGTGGTCTACGACCATTCATCTCCCTCGTGTATACAGTTTTTACTTCTCTGTCATCTGACATTTTTTCAATATGCCCCAACCATTTCAGTCTATTAGCTCTCATGATGCCAGTGATCAGTGGTGATTTAAACATGAATTTTGTTGTTGCTTCTCACTCTCCATTCACCGCTGTTTGCATCTTTGATGGGTCCAAAGATTAGTTATAAGACTCTGTGCATCACAGAGGCTGCAATGTAAATGCAAGCATAACACTCCATAATAAACAATCTGTTTTACAAATCAAGATGTCATTTTAGATTTGAGCAAATGATGGTTGAAGAAACTAGTCTAGAAGGAACAAAGATTGTTAATGATCAACAAAAATACCTTCATTGCTGCAAACTCTCCAAGGCCTTTCCCAAACTCTGCAACACTTTCATGGTGATCTGCTCTGTGAAATTAACACAAGAAACAAAACACTTCAAAAGTTGTCTCCTTTTTTATGTCAGATGACAAACATTACCAGAAAAACTAGAGATTTCTTTAAACCATTGATATATATATATTTTATTTTTACAGGTAAACCATAAAAAAGTATACATTTCAACTGCCGAAATATATTTTATCAATTAGCTGAGAATATAATGTAATTGTTTTTCAGCAAAATGAATATCTTGTTCATCTGTTGTGTTTTGTCAATTTCCAAGTAACAAAAATATACACATGAAAAGTTATTTTTTATTTTTTTTTAATTATTTAAATTATTACAGAGAAGAAAGCATATTACAAAAATATAATTAAAACAAATGAGGCAACTACAGTAAGCTTTTGAGGAGATGAAAACACACAAAACTTATAAACTTGCTAAAGCAGAGGCTGCAACAAAAGAACAAATCCTGGAGAATAGTTTGACAGACTCACAAAAGATAAAAATTTGCAAAAGGACTTCTGAAGCGATCACAAATGAAATGGCTCACAAAAATCCTTTTGCCAAAATGTCCCACATAATATTAGATGAAAAAATTAATTAGATTTAAAAACAAAAAGACACAAAGTCTAATCATTTTCCACTTTTAACAGAGTATTCTTAAGTTATCCTTTTTAAAGCTGCATCAATATCCAGTATTTTTCTTTGTGCAGACAATCTCGCTCACATAAAACCACTTACATACTCAAAGTAAAAGTAAAGATCCTTTTTCACGCCATGGGGTACATAGGAAGAGCGTTCATATTTTTACAGACCATCGGCACTAGGTGGGTAATGTGGTCAGCATTACGCCGGCCATCTTTACTTCCCCAGGACAGCCATCCTGGTACCCATTTTAGGCTGGGTTGACCTGCGACGCCCCATACCATGATAAAAATCCATGCAGCCAGCAGTGGGAATCGATCGCAGGACGTCGGAATTACGAGTCGGACTCGCAACGCCTAAGTACATACTCAAAGGACGGCCTAAATTTTCAAGTCACAGAAAACCTGCTGCAATATTTTCCAATAATCATCAACTCAGCCTAACAGTCGGAGGAGTGGTCACACGAATATAAAAGCTGACCATTCAGAAGCAATGGCAAGCTACTAAACATAACAGTACCCAGTGAATCACAAACAGCCAAAAAAATAAAAATGCTGGTGTTGGTTCTGCAATGTCCCGTAAAGGATACACAACTAACTTGTACACAGTCTGGCTGCAAAACAGATCACTCCTGTAGCTTCTGGACAGTGGTCTGAGTGTTCGCCAGGGCAAAGATAGGAGCGTCACCATGTAATATTCAGTGTGGGTGCACTGTAGGGAATCTTCACTGTAGAGGTAATGGTGGCTGCGTGGTCTTGAGGTATGGCGTCCGCCTCGAGTGCTGGAGGTCCCAGGTTCAAACGCTGGTGAAGGCTGGGATTTTTTTCACGTGGACTTCTAGTAATTTCCCCTGGTCTCTGAGTAGTAAGATCGGATGCCAGTGTGTATTGTTCCGCAAGTTAAAAAAATCCCTTGGCAGTTGGAAATCGTAAAGAGTAGCCTAACGGCCCTGCCCATACAAAAAATTTAAAATGTACATAAAATATTTCAGGATCCTTGGCGGTGCTACGGAGTTCATGCACTGCGCTGAGATTCTTTAGACTCGGGCTTGAGTCAGAACTAGAACACAGCACTTATGGGTTACTACTCTTGTGCCATGATGTTGAACCGTCGTCTAGACCTAAACCTAAACTGAAGAGATGGCCTTTGTAAAAAAAAAAAAAATACATAATGGTTAGGATGAAGTCCCGATTGGGTAGATCTCCTCCATAGTTTTAAGGTTTCTGACTGTCAATGACTCCAACCAAACCTGTGTCTAGAGGGACAGTACTTTGGTAACAACAGAAGCAATGCAAACTTACAAAGATCCGAGACTCATAGCAGCAACATCTGGAACCAGTGCCACCCGTTTCAACATGTCCATATGGAGATGGGGAGCACTACCTTGGTTACAGAAGAAAAAAATCATTTACATGTGATAAACAATATACAGTGCAGATCTGTTAAGGAGAACTCACCAGGGACCCAAGAAATGGTTCTTATCAGGAATTAATCTTATCCAGATAAGAATTCTAGAAAGTAAAATTGCCAGGGATAAACAACATAAATCTACCATGTCCAAGATCCCCTTAAGTGGTCTGCACTGCATATAATTCAATTATTTATAGTAAATCATTTTTTTTTAACTCAACAGTTTCACACAAATAATCTAAAGCAGTGTTTTTAAGAGTGTACCATGAGTGAGAGGAGGCATAACAAAAATAATCAATGGTAGTTTAGAAGGTAGTTCTATGGAAGATTTTGCCCTGACAGAGTAATATGTTAGACCTTCATATATTCTAGTAACAAAAAGACCCTTTTACATGGCTTTAGGCATACTGGGCACATAGGGCTAGACCTATATTTTACAGACCAATCAGTACTAGGTGGGTGATGTGGTCAGCATTATGCTGGCCGCCTTCGCTTTCCAGGACTTTACCTGGTACCCACTCAAGGCTGGGTTATCGTGGGGGTCAAGGTTATTTTTGCAACAACAAAAACGTCTGGCTCCAATTGGAATCAAACCCATGTCACATATTCTAGACCTCAGTAAAACTGGATTCAGTTACTTTTCCTCCCCATATAATTTCCTGAGAAATTGAACAATTACTTCAACTAACTTTTTAAGACAATGGTTAACTCTGGAGCCAAAGAGAAAAAAGATTCCTGCCACCTCTGGGGACTTAACTCAGACCAATGTCTTTGTAAAAAACAAAACACACTATGCTACTTCAGCTCCCAAAGACTACCGGGGATTTCATAACATGTGCCTATTTGGATGGGGGATTTTAAATCTGAATTTTAAAAGGCTTAGTTACATCTGGCTATCAGTATGTTATCACAAAAGGGTCACCCCACAGTTGCCCCATTTCTGTGACAGTGAGAAAAACACAAAATACATAGCACTGTCCCAAGTGAAAAGTCAGAAGACATCAGTCTCGGCAAAATCTAACAGCTTCCACTCATATTAAATGTATAAGGCAGGTGCCAGAGGTGGTGCCAATACCTACTGTATTTTACTAGAATTTCTATTCATAGGTGACACAGGTAGAAGTCACGACAAATTAGCAGGTACAGCTGCTTGACTAAATAAGACAAACTGCCAATTATGTGGCAACTACCACTAGCTTTTTTTCGGTATATGCAGTTTACAACACATCGCTGGTACCATACAATAAACATTTTCCATGAAATTCCCAGCTCATAGCGTCACACCTTGCACTCATCTCAACAGAACTTTTACCTTGTTGGCTGTCCCATTACGTTTTCCACGGGAAGGGGGGGGGGGGGGGGGAGAGTACTCCACCTAGAGTATTGGGGAGAAGAGTGTCCACCACACAAAGGTGAGGCTGACAGACATTAAGAGTCTGATACTGCACATTATGGCTCCTTTAGAACCGAAAGCTGTTATAAAAACTTGCAAGGCCAAGAGGATCAAGTTCAGTGCACCTGTTTTCATCCTAAATGGCTAAGACTCTCTCAGAAAAATGGCTAGCCGCCTGTAAGAGTATCACACAAAGTACAAACTTTGCAGCTCCGGCGATGATCCCAAGGGTCTCCTTAACGTGAACAAAAACAAAACGACGCAGCCATGAAATGAACCCTTGACCTTCGCAGCGTGAGGCAAAAAGCTTAACCACTTTGCCACAGAGTCCCCAAGGCTTAATTAAAAGAAGACAAAGTATATAGCCTCTCATAATGCCACGGCTGATAAGGGAAGCAAAGAATAGTAATAGTATAACCTACAATATGCATTTGAATCTCCAATGAGGTGAATTTTTTTAAATGTTGCCGGCATCTAGGTTGATCCAGTCTACCCCCGTGTGGGTTCCGGGGCCTCATTGTGAGGAAAACAAGAATAGACCCACTGCCTCCCCAAAAGCATGTCGTAAGAGTCGACTAATTGGGGAGCTTCCTTTGAAGTCGGAGTGCATCTGCCGGAGAGGCAAGGAACCAATAGTCTGTATTCAAAAGAATGAGATCTGTAAAACTGATGCACACGCAACACTCAGGTTCTGGAGCAGGACTGCAGTTCAGTAGTGGATGAGCAACCAGAACTTTCAGCCACAGTGTACAGCTGGTGAACGTGAAGAAGAAGAAGATCCAGTCTGAAACAGATACTTCAAAATGTCCAGGGAAGTTAAGGCAACCAGCGTGATACTGACCACATTACCCATCACATACTGATTGGTCTATTTAAAAACCTAAAAAGGCACATTTCTTTCCTTCACTTACAGGACAATGTAAGCTTTCAAAAAATTTTTAATTAAAGCTGCCTTATTTAAATTACAGCTGACTAGTGACTTGTCAAAGTGGCTTAGGAATGATTAGAGAACACACATTTGCAAATGTGCCCTCCCTTGGTAACTTGAGAGTTCAAACCTGATACCTGGAGACAAATGTCAGAGAAGCTGTCAAGCACCCACAACCTCATACTAACAACTAAATTCATGGAGGGATAAGAGAGGGGTGGTAGTAGACTCGAGACGAGATTTATATGTGGTGCAGGAAGGGAACAGGCAACTCAGTGACACATCTTTCTACGAACCCCAGACACAGGATGGTAGGGTAAAAAATAACAAAATATTAAAAAGTACCATGACAACCTTCATCCAGGAAGATCTTCTGCCTGCTCGGACTGGTTCTCTAAGGGCCGAACGTCAGACGGGTCTGAGTGTCTAATTTGTAACCCTTTGAAAATGAAGTTTGTTTGTTCTCTATTTGTTGAGGACAGCTGTCTGGGAAAGCCTGGCCTCCATATGCTTCCCAAGATACATAAACCGGACAACCAAGGCAGACCCATCGTGCCCCCCTGCGCTTGTCCCACAGAACTCATATCCGAGTTCCTCAGCCGTGTTTTGCAGCCCCTGGTCGTTGGTCTCCCGTCTACATCAAAGAGACTGACCGTGCTATCTCTGTCTTTCAATCAATCCAGTTCACCTCTTTTCCCAGGTACCACATCTTCACCTTAGACGTTACCTCTCTCTCTACACATCTATTCCACACTCGGAGGGCCTTCAGGTTTTGCGGTTCCTACTAGACCAGAGTCATAGCCACTGACCCTTTGATACGTCTTACTGAGTTAGTGCTCACTCTAAACTCTTTCAAGTTTAATGCCACTATTTCAACCAGATCAGAGGTGTCACTATGGGCACCAAGATAGAACCTGGCTATGCCTACCTCTTCATGGGCTGCCTCAAGCACCAGACACATCATGCCCAAGCTCTACAGGAGGTATAACGATGATTGCATCGGTGTCACCGATACGCCCCTACCTGAACTGAACTTCATCCATTTTTTTCTCCAACTTCCATCCCAGTATCCAATGCACTTCCAGCATCTCACCTTTGTCGTTGCATTTTCTGGCTTTAAAATAATGAAAAACTGTGTCCCACAATGGGATGGAAAGGTATTATTTTAGACTTCTTGACATAGGTTTCTGATCAAATTAGATCAGGGCGAAGAAAAATACCAAGGCAGATTTTACCAGCCAGCCTAAAGGACAACACAGAAAGAATGTAGTTGACCAGTGGAGCCATGAACTCATAAAGGTTCGAATCCACTACTCTTTAGAATATATTGTGTCTAATATGTCACTATACCGTCTTATTTGCTGCTGAAAAACACTGACGCACATACACACGATCTCCTTCTTTTACTTACCTCCCTTGGTGAAAAGTGTACACATAGGTGTCTCTAGTGTTATGTTCCCACATTTGCTTGCCTGAGTGATCAACCCCAACCTGCCTCCGGAAGACAATGCTTTCTCTACAGAGAACTTCATCCTGCTCCTTAAAATTTTGTCACAGTAAACGTGTGTCAGAAAAGTTTATACAATTCATCATTTAATTTGCATAAAGCAAAAAAACACTCCACTACAGAGCTTTTTTTTTCTTCATCTTCTTTCATATATATATATTGATATTCATGTTGTTTTTCACCGTCATTTTTAGGATGAAATTTTTCGTTATTTGAAGCCCCACCCTGGCTCTTGCCAGGGTCTGCAATATAGCCAGGCCATAAATATGACTGAACACAGTTTCTGGGACCTCTCCATGGTGATCCTCACCCACATGGTGGCACATTGTGTCATCGAATGTTTATCGCTTGTGTGATGTCATGGGGGGGGGGGGGGGGGGTAGAAAGTCAGTCAGTCAGTTCTTTCATTTATAGATGCAAATATTGTCTGAATACTGGATGGAATTTTTCGGCTGCAGTCAGGGGGCCCTAAAAAAAAACTATTGGTTGAACGGGGTTTCTGGGTGATTCTCACAGGCAAGGTGGTACCTTGTGTCACCAGGTGTTTATCGCTTGGTGGATGTCCTGGTGGGATTGTATCTCACTCACTCACTCTTCTTCTTAGCGTTCACCGGCTTTAAACTCATGTGGAAAGTTCTGGTTGTTCATCCACTTCTGAGCTTTAGCCGTGTTCCAAAACTTGAACTTTGCATGCACACCTGTTTTACAGATCTGTCTGTATGCAAGCTGTTTGTTCCTCGCCTCTCAGGCAGATGAATCATGAATTTGGAGGACAAATTCCTCATTAGTTGCATTTTACAACATGCTTGTTAGGGAGGCACAGGGTCAATTCTTTACAAATATGGGACCCAAGAACATAGCTTCTAGCATTATTTTACACATCAACCCCCCTGCCTGGCGTGGACTTTGGGCTACTTGGTAGCCTCTGAGGGCCCCAAAATAACTTTACGGTTGAACGGGGCTGACCAGAATTTGTACACACAGGGTTCTATTCCTTCTGTTAATCCTGCGGACTGCAATCCTGAGGGGTACAAACCACAGCAGCATCAACACCATGGGCAGCACAGTAAAGTGTATGGGACACTTAGTCATCTGGTGACACAAAAAAGTGTACAGGGTAACCTTCTTCTTCAGGGAGTTCAGGCACATGTTTGCAAGCCAGCACAATGCTCATAGACGCCCACTGCAGTTCGTCTGGGTTTTTCCCCTCAAAAATTGTATTTTCTAATTCAGTCAGTGTCTTTGCTCATGCGACTTAGCTGTTATCGTTACGAATGTGGCTCATAATTCCAAAAAAAATACCGGCTATCCGCCGAATAAGGGTCCCAAATTATCAAGGCCGAAAATATACTATACCCTAACAGGGCCTCAGTCACATGTAAATTGTGGACTTCAGGTGACAGATAATGAGATATGACAGCTGAACAGTTTACGCTGATGTAAACAATGGTATGGGGTGTTTAGAATATGGTAAGGAAGGCAAAATACTGAATGCAAATTTAAATAGTTTAGTAAAATTAGAAACCGCTCAAACAGCTAACAAAATTTTTTGACAAATTGCCGTGAGCCAGAAGGAAGAGAGAGACGACTGACTGGTCAGTGTCTGGGCTACACACACTTCACACACACAATGATAGCTTATTAATTATAATAAATAATTTCATTTACATTAATTTGAAACTACTTTACTTTACATATATCTAAGTTTCAAACCTTGGTAAAATTTCTCAAAATAAATTATTTATAAAACAGCAGAAGAAAACGAGACAGCTCATCTGTATTATTTTCGTGCAAGAGATGCCTTGTGTGTGTTATGAGTGATAATAGTGTTGGTCGAATTGATTGTGGGAGCAGTGTTGCCACTTTGGATCTTTTGTATCCAAATTTAGATCTTTTTCATTGCGTTTAGATCCTGTTTTTGACGTTTAGATACTAAATATTTTTCTAGATCCTTTTCATATGGAGTTAGATATTTATAGATTTATTTTTCTTTTAGTGTCATTTTAATAATTATTGAGTAAAATATTTACTACAATATTTTTGTTTTGGTCTGGCACGTACATTGTGGCAACTGCCATTACTTAAACTTTGAATTCTCACTAAGGTCAACACTCAAATATCTGACAACCCCGGTGCTGATTAATCGAAATCGCGCGTAAATCATACTAACTTTGTTTCAACCGTATCCTCACTGTGTTGGGAAGTATAGCTGTGATGCTGACTCTGTGTTTCTTTTTCATGTGATTTTTAAAAAATAATTGCTCACCTTCTTGTGTGGCTTTCATTTTGAAAAAACCTTTCAACATGCCAAAAGTAAAGTATGAGCAAAGATTTCGTAAAGAGTGGTTGCATGATGACAAAATTAAAGACTGGGTGATGGCAGTTCCTGTGGATATAACCAAGGCTCGTTGTAAGTACTGCAAGTGTGCAATTAAAGCGAAAATACAAGACTTAAAGAAGCATGCAGAGACTAACTAGCATAAAACTGCAGTTCCATTTAAAGGTATTACACCGCTGACATCTGTTTTCAGAACTACACTGATAAATGAATCATCAAAAGTTGAAGGGTCGGTCGCAATGTTTTTAAGTTGCCATTGTGCAATTTCAAACTGTGACCATTTGATTGATTTGTTTAAAAACACAATTTCTGACAGTAAAGTTAAGGATGATGTGAAAATGCATCGCAGCAAGTGTACACATATTATAAGAAATACTTTATTTTCTCACTTCGAAAAAGATTTGATCAATGATATTTCTACAAATAAATATAGTTTATTATTAGACGAATCAAATGATATTTCGGTACTGAAAGTGCTTGGTGTGTGTATTATATATTACAGCAACAATACAGACAAAGTAGTTTCTACATATCTTGGACTAGTTCAATTGGAAAAGTGTGATGCAGAAAGTATAGTTCAAGAACTGAAGAACCTTTTAATCAGCAAACAGTTAGACTTGACAAATTTGGTTGCAATTGGTACCGATAATGCCTCAGTGATGGTTGGCATAAACAATGGCTTTTATGCCAAGTTGAAGGAAGCTATCCCATCGTTAAGACTTATAAAATGTATGTGTCATTCATTGCAGCTAGCATTATCACATGCTTCATCTGAATGTTTACCAAGGAATTTGGAATACCTTATTGCTGAAACACATAACTGGTTTTCAAAATCATTTGTCAGACAACAGCAATACAATGCATTGTATTCAGCATTAAATAATGGTTCCACACCACTGAAAATTCTGTCAGATTGCAAAACCAGGTGGTTATCAATACAACCAGCTGTTGAAAGAATTGTAAACCAATGGTTGGAGTTTAAGACACACTTTGAAATAACAAGACAAAGTGAAAAGTGCTACACAGCTGAAATACTATATGGAATGTACAGTGATGAAAAAAATTTGGCATTCCTTCTCTTTTTACAACCTATTCTAATGGAAGTGCAAAAAGTTAATAAACTGTTCGAATCCAAAAATGTTGATAAAGTTAAATTACTTGACGATCTCACTTTGCTATTTTACTCAGTTGGTAAAAGACTGGTGTTGCCAACTTCAAAAGTTGATTTGCTCACTTGCACTATAGAGAGATTTTTGGCTCCTAAGCCATGCCTTGGATATCAAATCGAATCAAAAATTGATGATTTAAAAACAAAAGGACTGTTAACAGAGAATGAAGAGAACAACTTAAGAAAACGCTCATTATCTCATTGTTCAAGCAACTAAAGCAGAGACTTCCTGAAAATCTAATGTATTGAAACATATTTCACTATTTTCTGTCAGCAACATACTTCAGCCAGTAAAGTACATACCTAAAGATTGCAAAGTTATGAAATTTTTAGGGGCTACTGACAATAGTGTCGCGGAAGCAGAATATCAGTTAACCAAAATAAACTTAGTTGAATGGACAAACAAAACAGAAACTGAAGCGTTTTGGAGTGAAGTGAGACAATTTAAAGATGCCTCATCAAACAGTCCATTCTGTAAACTCTTTGAATGTGCCATGTCTGCCATGATACTACCCCACTCAAATGCTGACGTAGAAAGAGTTTTTAGTGCTATGAATTACATCAAATATAACCTAAGAAACAGGATGAAATTAGACCTCTTAAATGCTATCTTGACAATAAAGTTTGGCCTGATGAGAGTAGGAAAATGCTGTTCCACTTATCAGCTCCCTGATTGTGTATTAAAAGAAATAGGAACAGCTAAAGCATACCAGAGTAATTTGGGATCTGAAGCTTCAACTTCATCATCCAAGCTAAGTTTATCCTGTGGATCTTGTGAAGCAGACATCAGTGAAGATGAGGACATGATTCTATAGGGTAAGTCATTTCAATAGTTTTGTAATTTGTGACTCTTTTCATTTGGATATTTTTTTTAAATATTTTCCACGCAAATTTAGATCTTTTTAGATATATTTTTACCCCGTTTTGGATCTTTTTTGTCAAAGAAAAGTGGCAACACTGTGTGGGAGCCTCAATTATTGTTGCAGTTACGTTGATCCTGTTTGACTGGCACATGAAGAGCGCAAAGAAACTTCTCATGCTGTGTGGCGTTGGTAGTCATGACTCTCCACAACCTTCTGTCTCATGTACTTTCAATCAACTCTGGCACAGATGGTCTTCCATGCCACGATGTCAAACTGTCCAACATCTTCTCTCTCCGTCTCCATCTGCCTCTTTTCCCACCTCCATTGGAAACTCCAGTAGTCTCTTTCTCACGATATGACCCGAGAATGTACTCAAGTTGTTTCCCTTCTCGTGACATAATCGAAGAATATAACCAGTTGTTTTTTTTCCTCAGGATTTGAGCGGTCAGCCTTCTTCGTGAGTCTGTCTTTCAAAACATCGACATTACTCTTTTTATTTGTCCACAATGTTCTCATCATTTGTATATAAAACTATAGGCCTATTTTCATCGCTTCCAAACAATTTTTATTAATCGTCCAGCTGCCCTTGATTCACTTTTATATATCAGGACAGGATTTATGTAGCTGTCTTGTCTTGGCAAAGTAAGACTGCAAAT